AAGCCGATGATCGTTTTTTGCGGTTGATGTCACATGTCTCATTTACAATATCGCACGGCACGTTCAGGTATCCCATGTACCGATGTGTTTATTTAAACAGGCTTGTTGATCTTAAAGCTTCAAGTGACTTGACCCGGGTTACACTGTGGTTTACGAGTGTACCTTGCAAGTGCAATCAGTAAAATTCCGTTTTCCCCGGACTTGCAATTCCTCTACATACAGGTACGAAAAAGCTATTTTGTACCCAAAGAACTAATCGAATGGCTCAAAAATTTGCAGACGGCCAGGATAGATATCGGGTTAGCAAAGTGCGACTCAAAATATTTGTGTTTGCGCTGGTCCGTCTTTTTTAGCCAAATACAGCTATGAGAGGGAAGAAAAATTGTTTGCCAATTTTTGACAGGGTAAAGTTTCAAGGGGAGGAGGAATTTAAACAATTTGAAACAAATTTTGGTAGCTTAGGATCTGCGCTTTCTGCTGATATAAGTCAGATTTTGATACCTCAAACGCAAGGGTACAAAATAGCTTTGAAGGTGGTACACTCATTTAAGCAATAAATTTGCCTGGAAAGTGGAAAATAAAGTAGAGAGTACACCTTAAAAAGCGATCCCACACGGGTCCAGATAGCAGACCCAGATGAGTACGGATCCAGCAGGTCTAGTGTAGTGTAAATGACAAGCCTATCTGTGCTTGTTTGGGTACGGATCCATTTGGATCCATGCCATGCTAGTGTAAACGGGGTCAAAAGTAGCCTGCGTGCAGACTCGGAAATTTAAAAGAGGAGAGAAAGTAGAGTCTGCGCAACAGAGCCACTTTTCTTGTTCGCTGACATCAACATTTTATTCTAAGCACTAGAACAACAACTCCATTAGCGTGCAATGTTTTTCTGTAATTCTAGTTGTTCAAAGTTGTTCAGAAGAACAAACAGAACTATTCTATTATCCTGATACCATACATTTATACTTCTACTCGAAGGCGCCACTTTGAAAACTGAATAAGCAATTGAAATTCCCCCAACCAATCAATTTCGGTTCCTTGATTCTGATAAACTTGCGAACATCGGCTCGACTTTGCAGACTCTACTTTTTCTCCTATTTTCAATTTTGTCAACAGAGTCTGCACGCAGGCTAGGTCAAAACAGCAAAAAGACTTGTTAGAAACTCAAAATGCATGTTGAAAATTTGAAAAGCCTTTTAACACAATTAATTGTTGAAATTTCTATGATTGTTCGTTCGCCCTACACGTCGTCAGTGTGAGATTGCACAACTCTGATTCAACCAAGCAGTTTTTGAAAGGACTCTCAGTGAGCATAACTTCGCAAGAGATTTTAGCCAAAACCTTGCATGAAGTTATCTTTCCTCGATAATTTGTTTTATAAAGCTTGGATTTACATATTAATTTTGTTTTGTGAATCTCTACCATGAGCAGCTCCATCCAGTGCAGGTTGCCTTGATGAATGGCTACCGAATTATCAATTTCCAATAATTGTTCAGTTGGTCCACAAAATCATTAGTTTGTCGATAAAATCGTCTATTGGCAGGTGAAAAAGCATCTGAATTTTATGATTGCCTGAAATTCTGGCCTAATCCAATTTTTATTCTATAAATGTGAGCATTTTACTTTTCTTTTTAGTTGTTGCCCGATTTTCAAAAAACACTTTCTTCTTCCATTTTTATCTTCTGTGGCTGGGAAGGTTCTTACGGAGTTCTTATTTTTTTGAAAAATCGAGCCCCTGTGTTCTTATAATGTGTTTCTATATAAATTGCAGCAGATTTCCATTCCATGGAGTGACTTTCCCTTTGATTTTAAAAAGGAACTTTCTCCTCGATAATAAAAATCCATCTCTCATCGCTATGCAGTACTGAGGAGAGGGGGATCAGGGGGGTCACTGACCCGGGGACCCATGACTTTAGGGGCCCATAGATAAAAGGGTCAATTATGGAGCTATAGTTTTTTCAGAAATTTCAGTTCCTTTGCACAATTTTAACGATATTTCAGCTGATGCAACACTAGCAGGCAAAGTCAGAAACAGCCTTATGCAATGAAAACATTTGGAAATAAGCGTTTCAAATTCAAATGCTTAAGCTTGATCAACAGCTGCATTGGCTGATGCTTCTTAGAAAAAGTGACTCCTCGGTGATGTTAGGAGTTATGTCATCTTTTTTGCTGCGCAGAATTTCGCTCTTTTTTGCTATGTCATCTTCCTTCAATCTTGTGTATAATCAAATAATACTGAACCCCTCCCATATCTCGCCAATTGACACGAATCGCCTAATTATCTTTGCTATAACACTATCAATAATAACAATGCCAACAATAATCTTGAATTTTACCAAAAGCCTTTACCTGGTTTTCACTTCAAGATAGATAGGTGTTGGTCTTCAATTTTTTGGAACATCTAGCCCCTCGTCTAAACGAGCTTCTTCCAAGATCGAATCAACTAGTTTCTTATTGACATTGAAAGGTTGCATTCTGATTGCTAGGTGTAAAGTTTTTCAAATTATTTGAAAAGTGAAAATCTTTTTGGTGCAGCATGTCCGTTTTGATCAAATTTAGTATTTAAACGTTTTTCACTTCTTAAGATTTTTTAAATGTAAAGAATTGCATATTTTATGTATGCGTTATGACAATAGTATACTAGTAACATTTAAACTATATTGAAAAGACTAGAGAAGTAATAGCCACCATCGCAATATCAGCATCCAAAAGAGCCACAATTTTAGCAACCATCGTCTCAAAAATTTTCCCCGGACCCCTAAAAGGCTAGCCTCTGGTGTGCCTTGCTTTTTTCTTTCGTTTTGACCCGGGGCCCAGAGATCCTCTCTGCGGCCCTGTCGCTATAAAATCTAGTCTAATCTTCTATGACTGAATTTTTCTGCAGAGATCTGGCTGAAAGTAAACATGGCGGCAGTAAAGATCTGTCTAATGCTAGTCGTGACCTTCGCGGTATTGCTGTCAGTTAGAGGTAAAACACCGAAACAAGAACTTATTGGGCGTTTTCTTTGGTTCCGATCGTTAAACTTCAGGCAATACTTCATCCGGCACAAAAATTCCTTGGTCCATATCGAACACCGTCAACACACCAAGCGCTTTCTATTGGATTCATTGTGGAAGATAGTGCCTGGCCTGTGTGGTAGAGGGATCAGTTTTCAAGCTTACACACACAACAACTACTACCTGCGCCACAGAGGCTACCTGGTACGGTTAGACAAATATGAAAACACCCGCAGATTCAAGAATGATGCCTGTTTCATTGCGCGCCATGGTCTCGCAGATCCAAAAGGCGATTCGTTTGTGGCAGTTCATCCCAAAGGTTACGTGTTGCGTCATCAAGGCTTCAGAATGAAGATATCTCGGAATGACGGCACACGTTTATTAAAGCAGGATGCTACATTTGTCCATTTCCCATAGCGGACCTGCGCAAGAGCATTGTACAGCCTGGGGAAGATGAAGAAGTAAATGAACATGCGCTGGATTTTTTAAGTTTCTTGGCTTTCGATATAAACTCTTTATTTACATATTTTCACTCTTGCTGAGGCCAGCTTCCGGTTATGAACATATTTCTGTAGTAATTTCAAATGAAACAAAGCCTATGCTGTAAAAAACATTTCTTTTATGCTATATGTTCTTCTTTTAAAGGGAAGGGGATTCATTAGGGTTGGGAGTGAATTCATGTTTTGTTCAGTTAACAAATAATCCAAGTTCGTTTTTTGCTTAAAATTAATGAATCACAAGAACAACATGAAAATATTTGTGACTTTGCAAAAACGACTAGATCTCCAAAACTCCAAAATGAGGCAAGTCTATCCATCCACGTGGGCATTGTCATCTTCGTTGCAGTGGCCTAAGTGTTCGGTCATGTCGTTCTCCACCGCAATAGCTGTTGTCTTAGACGAGGCTACGGAAACCCAGTGATAATGCTTACTTATGTTTCTACAACTCTAATTTTAGCAAAAGAAACAGAAACTAAAAGAACAAACTCCAATATACTAGTGGAACAAGCTGCATAGGTTGCCAATCTACTCCTTAACAATGGTTGGGGTGGGGGCCTAACCCCAAAGCCTCTTTAGTGTTTTGGTAAGTTCCTAAACAGTTTGAATCAGGGAAAAAACAAAGTATGGCTTGATTATTAGCTGAGATTTTAAATTGCTTTATTTCGACCTTCCTGGTAGTTGTTCCATGTTAATCACAGATGCCAGTGAGGTTTGCTCTTGCAATGCTGGCATTTCATGTCAAGCTTTCCAGGGGCGTCGTGGCCAATAAATTCTAGAGGGGACCAGAAAGAAAAAATTTCCGACAAATTTTTTTTTGACTTCTATTCATCAAATAGCAGCATTTCATTGTATGTGTGTGAGGGGGGGGGAAGGGGAGGGGGGAGACACATAACCTTGCCTTAGCTCGAAAGATATTTCAAATGCACTTTGAACTTTGTCTCTGTTTCTCTCATACTTACTGTAAAAGTCCTTGACATTTCGCAAACCTATAGATTTGTAGATTAGGACAAGGATTTGAACAAAGTTGACTACCTGAGGCAGCACAATGCTTGTTGGGAAGGGGAAAATTTTTTATAATCTTAATTCTTCAAGATCGCCGAAAATTGCATCCTTGGAAGCAAATTTCAATAATAAAAATTTATTTTCAAAATTAATATATCCACTGGCGGAAAGCGATGGTATTGGTTGACTTCTTTCTTGTTTTACCTTATGCAACATAACTTCATAAATTTTCAAATCTGGGACAACATTTTCGAAATTGGTGATAGGCACAAAATTGGCACTGTCCTTGTCTTCAATATCAAGTAAAGATGTTATTTACGACCAAAATTGCAATTTCCATAACCAAATTTGGCCCTTGAAAATTCGGATTTTAAGGATAATTCTTAAAATTCTCATCACTTTAGCCCGCACACACCCAAGAACAAGCCCCCATTTTCTTAGCGAAAACATTTTCTAGGAAAATTCGATCATAACCTCGTTCTGAGGCTCGCTTTGCCGCCAAAACTTCACATGAAGGAAGTGATCAAAATGGAGGGAAAGGACGAAGCAACGGGCCACGGCTATACGATCAATGGGATCAAAATCAAGTTTCCCGTAAAGGCGTATCCCACTCAAATCACAATGATGCACAAGGCTTGTTTCCTTCTTCTGTATTGTTGATTTTTCTTATAGGCCAATTTTTAATTTTAGGCCAAAAATTACCACCCCGTTCGCAATGTGATCACGATGCACCTTTCACTGTATTTGTATTTGCAATGTGATGCACCTTTCAAGCTTTAGATTTTAAAGTACTTTTTTGTCTGGTCGAATAGAAAGTGTTTACTGCGTCGATTCGAATACTTCCAGATTGTAAAGCTGGGCCTATTTGAATGGCATTGAATTTGTGAGCCAATTTATTGTAAATGGAAGGAATTTGGGCTGCTGTTGTAAATTGGTTACTTGAAAAATTCTTTAGGAATATCTTCTCTGTCCCTGTTTATAAAATAATTTGTCTTTTGGAGCAGATTTTTTCTGCAAAGTGCGGATCTAAAGAATAAATTGTAACCTCGTAATTATATTTTTTGGATCGGGGACAAACATCTAAATATAACATGGTAGACTTGGCTCAGGTCAGGGTGGTGGTGAACACCAGGGTATATTTCATGTCAACTGTACATTGAAAGTCCACCAGGGCAGATGGCTTAGATTAGATGGTGTTAAAATTGTCCAAGTTATCAAGTCAATTTTAATTTTCACTTCTTTAATTAAAAGTCAATTTTATTCTTATTGAGCATTCAGATACAGAGTTAATTTTTTTGTGATTTTGTTTTTGTTCACAATAAACTCCCCCTGCGGTTGTTTCTATAATCAAATCTGCAAAATGATGAAAATTTGGTTATTTCTTTCTAAAAGATTCATTCTATAGATTAATGAAACTTCTATCTAGAAATCAAAAATGCCTCTTTTTCTGGGCTTGTCATTTTTGGATTTATCCTATGATTTGTTCAAAACCGTTGAAATAAAGGCCCCAAAACCAAAACCTTAATTGTCTTGTCATGACAAATGCATAATCTGTCTGAGATCAGCAACAGCTTCAAATGTATCATAGTTGATCTGATGAAAATGATTATAATGGCACTAAGTAAAATTTATTGTGCCACACAATTTACTGGGCAATATAGGAACAAAAGTATTTTGAAGGATGCTTCTGCAAGTTTTCGCCGGGGCATATTAGATAAGGCAGCATTCTGGATATGGTGCTATGGCTTGTTCCTCTTGACTTGTAGTCTTGAATGAATATCCTGGGTACTAACTTTCTTACCTTAAAGTTATGGGGATCTATGATGGCTGTAGGCTGGCAGGAAATGATGCCAATGGGACTTGACTCCCAATTTTCAGACAATGACCCATACCATCAAGTTTTAAGGAATGCTGCTAGCATCCTCATTTTTTGTTTTGTGAATTTAATTTCCATGTACCTCAGAACTGAGCAAGGTTTTGCCAATAATCTCTTCAAATTTATACATCCTGTGTAAGTCATTTGATAAATGCCTTGCTTTTTGTAGATACTAAGAGGTCTTGATAAGAATGAGAATTGTTTGTTAGAAAGTCCTACTGGTAGTGGGAAGACTTTGGCTTTGCTGTGTTCTTGCTTGGCATGGCAACAGAGAGAAAAAGGTAGTATGATTTAGAGTTTTACTGTAAAGACAATCAAAGTAGTTTATTTGTTTATGGATTATTAAAAGGGTGTTTACATTTATGAATTTCTGTTGTTGTTGAATTATTTTCCGTGTCTGCAAAATTACGATGGTGGGGCAACTTGAGTAAATTCCCTTAAAAATTTGTAAAACTATGCTTTTTAGTTCACTGTTTCCAATGGAAAGCCAGTGTTAATATTGTAAGGTATTACTTAGGTACAGAAGATTTATTAACTTTGACTTCAATTTTTCATTTTGGTTTTCCAAATTTTGGATGGATTTATATTAAATTGCTTCTCGCTATTTGCATCGTTCCTCTTTAATGGTTATGTCAAATTTTTTGTTGCAATATTCAAGACCTGCAAGATCTTGTACTTCTTTACCATTATCTATTGTTTATCATAGCCTTCTGTGTTTTTTATCATTCAATAATCTGGACACTTGCAATTTGACTTTTATGATGATTTTTCAGAGAGAGCTGAAAAGGAGCATGAAATACGTAAGTTGTTTTAAAGAGTTAGAGTTCATGTTGTTTGACACAGTTTTATTATCAATTTCAATCACTTACATTTTGTTTAGTATCTATGATGGGAGTTTTGAGTAGAAGCAGCAATGGGCTGGCAAAAAGCTATTTCAGTCCATCCTCCTCGTGAAATTCTCTGTTGATGTTTGGGTAAGAAGTTTTCATTTTTAGGGCATATAGCAGTAGCAATGCAAAGGTTGACCATTCTTTATAAAAGTCTTCAAAATTTTACATTCTTAAGTAAAAACTTCACAAAGTTTTCATCTTTTTTTATTTTTTGTCAGAAATGAAGTACATGCTAGCTGAACTTGGAAGAACTGATGAGTGTGTTGCAGGAAATGCAAACAATGAAGGTCTTGGTAAGAAAGCGATTATGTATTCTCCTTCATTGTGTGATTTCTGTTCTGCTGTATTCTTAAACAAACATGTTAATCAAATATATAAAATAGATAGACTAGAATTGATGTTAGCATAGGGGTGTAGTGCCATGGGAAGAATGGGTTAGGGACTTGGCTCTCCCAAATTTGTTACAAGAAACATTAAGGGATAAAGTAAGAATTAGTATCTTTGTAAATAGGATTGGGGGGTTGGGGCAGATAAATGCCAAAGAGGGATGGTCTTTTGTAGATTGTGCTGAATACTTGTTGATTATGATCAGTGGCCTAGCATGACTTTCCTTGCAGGGGTGGTGGTGTAAGAGATGGAAAACTGTATTTTACAGACAGAAATTCTTATGTTACATTTTTCATAAAACTATTCTCTGAATTGGGGGTGTGACACCCCCCACCCCCACATGCTATGCCTCTGATTTTGATTTTGCATATGTACTCTGTTATGGATATAATTACTCTAGTCATATCCACTTCACTGCACTGCTTTGTGTAAAACGAAAGATAAAATTGTTTTGTTTTTATAAGGTTATAGATCCAATTTAAAAGATTGCAGAAAACTAAACAGAAAACTTTTTTGAATATTTTGTGAAAACATCACATGTTCATGTATTCCTTTTTTGCCTAAACAAATGTCTCTATTTAAGATAAAAAAAATTTGGATATATTTTGGTGGTTCATGATGTTCCATGTTTCATAGCCTCCTTTTATATTAAAATTCTTTCTGTCTATTTATACAATGGTCACACATGCAGTGGTGGATCCAGTCAAAAATCTGACTACCACTGAAATGAGATAGAGGGTTGACCACACCCTTTAGACCACACCCATTTCTTGGTCACACACCCAGTTTTCTAAAATGATTATTGCTTTCTATAATTTCTTATGTAGACCATTTTCAAGAGACAAGCGGTGCTTTACTGAAATTTCATGTATCCTTACAACAAGCTTGAGAAGAAATAAATAATCTTATTCACTATTCTGAGGATGGATACTCTAAAAAAATTTACGGCATTTAAATGAGGAACACCATAGAATTAGAAAAAAAGATACATTTGGCAGAATTTTGAAGTGTCGCCTAAAACTAGCATTTAGTCGGACAATTACTTATGAAAATCGACCTGTTGGAAATTACAAGTTTAAAAAGCTAGATAAAATTTGCAAATATTGAGAGCAACTTTTGCTAAACAAAGAATCATATTTTTGGCAAATATTGTTGGCCTGACTTTGAAGTTACAGTTTGCCCACTTGCAGAATATGTAGGCATCCCCCCATCTTTTTGTAACGTTTGAGCCGTGTTGAGCGGCAGTACTACTCAAAACCCCCCATCTGAGCGGTAGTCAACTCGGATGTTCATTGGTTTACACTAAAATTTGTATGCATCCCCCCAGGTTGGCAGTGATTTTTGACGAGTTGATTGGTTTAGGCAGGCTGACTACCGCTCAGTGCAGCTCGAATCCGCTCTACACCGACTCAACCCCCCTAGCTAGCAAGCCATGATTTCATCATCCCCCCATGCTAGCCTTCTATTTGCATTTGCAAACATGTGGCACGCAATTTCCATAGCGATAAGGATTAAAAAATATTTCTGTCTCTGTGGAAATTTCAGGCATGTTCCTAGGAAGAAAGGCTTGGTTTGCAGCGCGATCAAATATTTTCAATAATTAAATATGGTTTAATTAAAGTAGTAGGATAAACATGAAAATGATCCTTGTTTCTATAAATTTTTGACTAATCTGACTACCGCTCGAGCGGTAATGGCGGTAGTCTGGGTCCGCCACTGACATGGGTTTGTAGAATGGCTTTAAGTAGAATAGGATTGCTTTAAGTTGGCAAACCAATTTCATGTTTTACGCATTTAGTGTAACTCAAGGATAGGTATAGCAAGCTTGAACCATATTGTTTTATGTACCAAGGCGTGCGCCTATTGTCAGTTAATTATGTTACATGGTGACTATCCTTTGCTTTTCAAAATGATTTCCGTTTTACAGATTTCCCATTGTCAACAATTAAAGCAGCACTTAATGGCAGTGATACAGATTCTACAACAGCAAAACTTGAAGCAGCCCATGCTGAGGAACCTTCTGAAATAAAATCAGGTTTTCAAACATATTGTTCACATTTAAAGAAAATTTTTGATGCAGAGTCTTTTTAAACATACTAACTACAGGGCAGATCTCTGCTCCAGCCCTAGTGCCATTCTTTTGTTTAAAAAATAGACTATGGTACCCCTTTTTTAAGAGCAGGGACTTGTCCCCATGCTAAAGCCCTTAGAAAAGATACGCTAAAGTTTCAGATTATATGCTGTATTTTTAAACGGTCAGGTATAGGTTGTTATGCGATCATTGCTTGACTAATCGATTCAATGGTCTTTTTTTAGAAGAACTGTAAAAGTATAAAATCACAGAAAACAAAGAAGGCACAGAAAACATGTTTAAGACCAAAGCATTAAGTAGTAGACATATCTAGAATGGAAGTAATGGAATTTTTTGTGGAATGATATTGGTGTTAATTATTTTTATAATGAAATCCAGTAGTCGAAACTGGGGGTACCAGGGGGATCTTCCTACATGCCTGTTGAAAAATCGCCGTTTCCTTAGAAGTGCTTTTGTGAACACTCATTGGAAAATGTCCTTCTTCCTACCTCCACTCTCCCAGTTTTAAATGCTTCCAACATCTCTGGAATAAATTCACTAGTTTTTGTTCTTAATAAAAGTGTCACTCTTTTGGTAGTGTAATTATTGAATATTTATTTTACAAGGTAAAATCGAAACTGCTGATATCGGAGAAGCTGATTTTAGCCAAGATAATGATTTCCAAACGTCCAAGAAACGCTTTCGGACACCCACAGGGGTAAGTTTCGCACTAGATCACAAAGACGCTGACTTTTAGCTGGAAATATTGTTATAAAAGGATATGTATAAGCATTTCAGGATTCGGAAAAGTTATGTATTTCGATCTCAACAAGCTACAAGTAAATGCAAAAAAAGGTTAAGCCAGAAGGTCTCGACCTTTTAAAACTCCTTTTTTAATTGACCGTCTCTAATGTTGAAAAAATTGGTTTTTGATGTTCCCCGAAAATGTTGCTTCTATCTGAAAGCTATCGGGAGCGGCTATGCTCCTGTAGAAAAAGTTTCCCGGCGTTCTGACTCAAGCACTTACTGACGCCTGTGCTTGTTTAGAAAAGCAATTAAAATATAATTTGCCAATGGAGAAACTTGCGTTGACATCACCTCTGTTCTTTCTATCAGCCTGCTCGGAGTGCAAAAAGAATGAGACCAGAAACTGACGGGTTAGATGATACGGAGACAGAAATTGCAACACCCATTGAACGACCAGCCTGGCGAATCGAAACAGGCAAAAACGATGCTTCAGAAATCAATTCAAAGTCTTGTGCTGAAGGGTTCTGTGAAAAAGAAGGAAAAACAGAAGGGAAGTCGATTGAAAATTTAGATGATTCATACCAGATGCCAAGGACTGAAGTAACAAGGTATGCCTTTATGAGTGTTTATATGAAGCAAACGTTATTGTATATATTACCATGTCGTCTTATTGCCAGGGGTCATAAAACGAGAGATGTTAGAGAAGTGGAAACTAATCACCTGTAATTAGAGAATGGTACATTATACCTATGAAGTACATTACCTTATAGCTTATTGTCCCATTTAAGATAAATCCAATTACCACTTGAATTTTGTAAAATCCGTTATAACTTTATCGAAAATTTTTTTCCTCTTTTAAGAAAGAGATCGGTATTTCTACAATGTAGTTTTAAAATATTTCTTCATTAGATAGAAGGCGTTATTTTGTTTATTGCCAAAGCAATTTTCCTTTTTTTAGAGCTCCCAAAATATTCTTTGGCACACGGACACATAAGCAAATCAAACAAATTGTACGAGAATTGAAAAAGACATGTTTCAAGTCGATCAGGTGAAGATAATCTTATGCATTAGTTACTCTAACAATTACAAATATCTATAGTTTCTTTGAGTCACTTTTATGTTTCCAGTTAGTTCTATGTAGGAAGGGCATCGAACGAGCATATATTGGGTCCTAGTTCATGTTTATCCCGATGCTTTGTGTACTCACTAGTTCAAGTGTTATTTTAAGGTCTATTTTTAGGTTTTACTGTTCAGATGTTGCTTCGTGCTGGTGTAGACCAGATCTCATGGTATACCTTTATTCATTTCAGAATGACCATCCTATCAAGCAGAGAACATTCCTGCATTCATCCTGATGTCTCTGAGTCAAGGCACAAAGGTGAGGAATGCCGACGCCATGTGAAAGGCTTGGATGTAAGTTAACCCCTTCTGTTTATTCTGTACTTGCTTACCTGCTTAAGGCGGGTATCCCCGGGTTCTGACATGGCTTCTCCATATCTTCCTATCATCCATCAGTCTCGCCAGCTCGTTGGTAGTTGTGTCTCCTGTGTCACGCTTCAGGGTTTCCACAAATGTTGTCTGCGGTCTCCCTCTTCCTCTTCTCCCGTGGAATGGTTCCTAAAGCACGAGTTTCTGGGTGCTCATCTCAGGGTGGCGGTAGCAGCAACCGGCTAGTCGGAGCCTCCTAGCAGCAATCTTGTCATCTACTCGAGGTAGCTCTCCTTAGAGTTGCTCATTGGGAGTGTGGGAGCTCCAGTGTACATTTAGGGCCTTTTTCAGCATGCGTGTGTAGGTGCCATTGAGAGACTTTTCCATGGTTTCAGTGGGGGACCAACTCTCACAAGTGTAGAGCAGGATGAACTCCACGGTTGCAACAAAGAACCGCTTTTGGGCTTGTTCATGTTGGATTTCAAGCTCTTGCTCATGTCGTTAGGGTTTGTACAGGTAGGTCGATCTTCAGCGAGTATTTTAATGTAAAGCTGGATTTTTTGGGTCACATGATAATCATCCCCTCAAGATATAGCCAGAAGTAGACAAACCATAATATTTTTGTTGCTCTATGTATCTTTTTGGGTTCGGTGCAGTCCTACGCCATGAGCCATCAACTTGCACAAGTTCTACCAAATCAGTAAGCTAGGCACTTTAAATGTGACTCATCACACTTTTCACCAAAATTCATCGTTGAAATATTATGTAATTATCTCGTTATATGACAAAATCTTAAGTTTTATGAAATAAAGGATGCCTACAGACCACAAAACAAAATTAAACTGCAACAGATACATTGTAAATGAGAAATTGTTAAGGCATTACTTCCCTGGGTACCAGAGCCACACCAATTCGAGCGCCGTAATGGGTAAAGCATTAGGAAATTTCGATAGGAAAGAGGGGACCTTATAAATTACTCTTGAGTAACGAGAGTAGCGGAGCTTATTTTATTACGGACTCCATAGTTCATTTAGCGACTGATTTTGTGACTTGCAATTGATATTTTGACCAACTGCCATTCTCACACTTTTGTTGATCTGCCTCCTCAAAATTCATGGTATTATGTTTTTCAGGGAACGAGTTGCAATTTCTTTGGCAACGCATCATCACTTTGCAGGCCCTCCTCAATGAAAAAATATAACTTGAATGTAGCTTGGGATATTGAAGACCTTGTCACTGTTGGCAAAAAAGCAAATGTATGTATATATTGAAGTTAACACCTGTTTATTTGCATAAAACCCCTGCTAAATGTGATTCCTATCAACCATTGGAAGCAATGACGTTTGTTATTTTGTTAATAAAGGAACACAGTTAATTCTTTACAATCTTGTACCCGCCAGTTAAGTCAGTATCACAGCTTTTAGCACCAAAAGTATCCTCGAGCCACCAAAGTGTACGTTAATTCACTATGGTTAATTATCAATCGACAGAAATTGAAAACATTGAAAAAAACAGCAGAAGGAGGAATCTAGTAGAACCAAAAAACATTCACATCATTTTTGGCATTAAATTGTTTGTTGAACAATTTCAAAAATAATTTAGGCTTGCAGCTCTTCGGAGCCATGGTCAAAGATTGCAATACATACTATGAAAAACAAAAATGTGTCACCGCCCGGGCTCGAACCGGGGACCTTGCGCGTGTGAGGCGCACGTGATAACCACTACACTACGGTGACCGATGACTAAGTTAGTGGATTTCTCTACCAGGTTCTTTTGTTGTGATCGTCGATCGCTGTGATCTAAAGATTTCACTTTCACAGGGGTGTACTTGTTTTTATTTCTAAAGATTTTCCGCGGATTCTTCGATTCTCTTATGATTTTGGAGGACTCCCAGGAATGCCTTTGTCATGTAGATCATGAAAGAAATAACAATACTAATTATAAAGATAAAATAAATAAAACAATCTAAAAATAAATAACTATAACATGATCAATTGAAGCATGTCCCAACATTCATCAAAGACCGATTTCTACGTATACACTTCCTAAGTCTTTTTCACCAATCCTTTTTAGGCCTGCCCTTATTATGCAGCAAGGGATCTTATGGATGAAGCTGATATCATTTTCTGTCCGTACAATTATTTGATTGATCCACTTATCCGCTCACAGGTAATTACATTATCTTTGTTTCTACTAAATCTTTTTTCTCTTAATATACTGTTTGATTTTTTACCAAAAGACTTACTGTTTGCCTCTAATTTCACTCAATTTAATTCATGTTTTAGTGAAAATAACTTAAAACACCATTGTTGACGTTTTTACTTGTTTTTAAATAAGCGATTCAAGTTGTCCTCCAATTTTTATGCCCTTCAACTTTGGAAGCCCTTCGTAAAATCCCGCTTGTAGACTTCTTTAAACAGGTGCAGACAGATAACCGGGCCATAACCAGCTACCTCGAAACCCTTGGGGCACTAGGGGTTCCAACTTTTTGGAAAGTGTCCTTTTCTCAGAAGAGCCCCATCCAGGGGGGAAGTGCTAGAGGGTCTTAGGGGGCTGAGCCCCCTTGTTCATGCCACAAATAAGCCAGCTTCTTCTTTAACTATTGTTTTTGTATGTACATACATACAAAATCTTTAACGTATAAATCTTTAATGTATAATAATCTTTAATGTGAATAACAAACTAAGTTTGAAAACCTGTTTCCAGTTTGGTTCACAAATTAAAAGTACAAATAATCTAAACTTAACCAATAAGAAAATAAAAATTAGTAAGAACCTAGTACAAAAGTCAAGTAATGATTTATAAACCTATAATGTTAGTTAAAAATGCTATTTTAAAATCCATCCATACTTATTAAAAGAGTTCGACTTAAGTTTGTCCATTAAATAATTTTTACATTTATTTTTAAAAGAATGAATATTGAATGAGGCAGAAAGTTCCAAATCCTTGCTCCATATTGTTTAAAAGACTTCTTAGAGCCCCTTGGAATACACAAGCACCCCCGTCTGGCATTTCTTGTTCCATGTCCATGGGTATCCGCAACTTTCATTAACATTTCTGAAAGGTATGGTGGAGCAGCTCCTATAAAGATTTTTTTGGCAACATTCTGTGCAAGAGCCTCCTTCTCAATTTGATAGCACTACCACACTGGCCCCATCCCTTCAACTTTGAAATACCTATTCAGAGATAATCCTTTCAAAATAATTTTAATGCATTTTTTTATAACATTTTAAGTTGCCTGTCAATTTGAGAGGTGATTTTATTGTGAGTTCTCGCTGTAAATTTTGCAAACGGATCTAAAGCTTTATCTTTTTATTTCATTACTTAGAAACTGTTTACTGCCAAAAATAGTTTCTTTTACTATCTTTGTTGAAAAATAATTTGAAGAGATATATGACAAGAATCCATTAATTAACTGTTTGAATCAACGTAAAGTTTTTTGCTATTTCTAAGAAAACAGCTTTTATATAGTGGTATAAGAGAGACGCTATAGTACGTAGAACACAATTTTTCCAAGATTGAGCTCTAAGACTCACGCTTCATGCGATATATTGAGGTATAGAACAAATATATTTAGTACCAAAAATAATTTTTAATCCTTTAATATAACAGATAAAGTCAAATAAATAGGAATATTTTCAGCAAAGAGAGTTCTACACTTTTTATACTTTATACATTTATGCTGTCCAGTTAGCAGATATTTTTAACATATTTTGCTGCTGATAAAATAGATCAAACTGATCGCACAATCTTGTTCCGTAGCAAGGAGTCCATGTTTTTTTGTTTCAGATGGGTATCAACCTTAAGGATGAAATCCTGGTCTTAGACGAGGCTCATAACATCGAAGATTCCGCAAGGGAGGCTGCGAGCATTACTGTGACGTCGATCCAACTTGAAAACGTCATGGAAGAACTGGATAAGCTCAGTAAGGGTTAAACCTTGCCATTTGACACTTTTATACGAGGCATCATAAAATGTTTCTAGCAGAGATATTTTCATCATTTGCATGTCATATTATATAATTTTTAAAGATTCATTTTCTTAGTTTTGCAATGTGTAAGAATATAATAAAACCTTGCAATAATGGTTTAACTTCGTTCAGCAGATTTTGTATTTTTTTATATCAAAATATCAGGTTAACGGTCAATAACGGTCAATAACGGTCAGTAACGGTCAATAACGGTCAATAACGGTCAATAACGGTCAATAACGGTCAATAACGGTCAATAACGGTCAATAACGGTCAATAACGGTAAAAACTGAATTGCCACCCGCTCCTTATACCCAAAACATACATGTTACGTTTTCAAATTTTAATGAGTTTGTTCTTTTTTGCAGTTGTACTTGATGTCATGGCAGTGGAGCACAGGGCCATGCGTCTTCTTGTAAGTGACAGCCTAACGATTGGTATGGTTGCAGCTACAACATCATGACCCCTTGAAAGAATCTCTCCCTTAGTTCCTTTGAAGCATCTCTTGTAGCCCTGTCCAGTCCTCAGTGTAAAAAGGTTTTTTACGAATAGTTATCACAATATATTGCTCAACAAACATTGTTCGTTGTCCATGGGGTGGGGTGGGGTTATGGCTTCGAGAGTTTCAGGGTTTATTTAGATTTTGGGGTCGATTATTGTTTCCTCGATGTCAAAGTTTTGGGTGTTGTGTTAATTGTAGGATATTTTGAAAATCTTCCACATTCATTTCAATTTTATCTTAAAACTAATAACCATGCTTCTTTATACAATACTACTATCTAAAAAGCTCCATATTTTTATAATGTTTACACTTTGCAAATATGAAAAGGAAACGTATTTTTCTTGCTCATTGTACCATGAAGTGTGATTTATGTAGTTTACTTGTCGCACACCGAACCAAAGTATCAGAACCTAAAATGTTTTGGACCAAATAATGTTGCTCGTTGCATCTCCTATGGTGTGAATCGGAACGCTCTTTTTTACCCAGTGTACGAAGTTATCAGAATGGCTTGAGAGTATGTCAGACTGCATGCAGAAGACTGGCTTTGAGCAGGCGACAAGAATTTTGCCATTCAATGACATGATAGCAAGAATGCAGTTAATTGACATCACAACTGAATCCTTTCATTATTATAGGGTAAGTGCCTCGAGCAGTTTTATTCTTCCTTGTAAAATTTGTTTTCATGGAATCTTCTCTATAAAAAGCTCTTTATAAAATCTAGAATGTTTTTATTTTTTGCTGAATTTGCAATCAATACCCTCAAATTAATTTTCTCAAACTTTTTCACCAGCATGCACTTTTAGACATCATTGCAAGTGACCAAGATGCGGATGGAGTCACGTAAGTTCCAATTTGTTATCCTGCTTTCTACTTCAGTTATTAAAACTACAGCTGAAATGTGAAAATCCTTTCTTAAAATTGTTGTTTCATATCCTCCCCGTTTGTCAGGATGTTGTAAATTCTCGTTTGTTGATTGGATAGCACTTCAAGTAACTGTCTTCTCGAGTATTCCCAATTGGTGGCCTATTTCTTCTCTAGGGAGGTATATATTTGATCGATTTTTGACGCCTGTCAATCATATTCACGGCCTTTAAATTTGTGCTGTTGTTATAGCATATACAAAGCTAAATTTGAAGTTTCGTCTAACAATGTTTCATATTTGGGAGAGAAGCGTACGCTTTAATACTTTTTGATTTCTGTAATCTGTTCAGATGTTAGAAAAACTAGAAAGAACGCACAATGAATTTTATTTATAACGAGGAACGCAAATTTGTTCTTGAATAACAACGTTTCGTAAAAATTTTCCTCAAAAATTTTGAAAAAAGGCTTAAACGACTTAAATCTTTCAGAATCGGAATAGAAAGTCATATTGCTTAGAATGATATTTTGTATGTTACAAATATAATGTCCTATGTATTTTGTTTCTTTTAATGTACTTCGGTTAACAAAAATTTGAAAATGTCTTAGTGAAGAAATTTCCATCTTTGGTTTTATTTACATTTTAGCGACATTGACGCGCCGAAATTAAGCTCGAATGGCATGCTGGTATTGAAGAGCATCCACTCTGGTTTGGAGGTTGTCTTTGACACCGAAAATAATTTCTGTGAAGATTACAAAATTGTGGTAACAAAGAAAGGTGGCATGGGCAGACGTCAAAATAGAAATATGGTACTTTGAGAATTTTGCAACATGTTTGTCTTGATTTCATCCCAAGTTTCAATTCAGTTTCTTTTTAAGATCAGCAATTTTTTAATTTTTCCAAATGTTTTCCTAACTTTTTTCATTTTTGATATACGTTTGCGTGCATTCTTTCAATTACTTTTGTCTTGTTTATATTTCTCGATAATTTTTTTATCTAGTAACATGAATGCCGCTTCACATTAAATTTATATTTTTATCCCCCGTTTTGCAGTCTGGTGGCTGGCGGATAGCCCAAAGAGATGGTAAGTTGCAATAACGATAAAATATGTTATTTAAAAACTAATTCTTTATTTCAATCTGAACTTTTGCCTTTTCAAATCTTACAAACTCTTTTGACAAGAAACTACTGCATAAAGAAGTTGTAAGATATATATTTACAATGTTACCTTGGAATTTATTATAGTTATCATAATTATCATTAATTATCATAGTATATGCATAAATTTCAATTAGAAAATGTTCTAAAATACCTTTCTATGAATTGGTTCAAGCTATTCATTTCTGTGAAGAATATTGTGAATAATTTATTTTAGCCTCCATTACCTTTTTATAATTGAATCATACCTCGCCTTGTATCAATTATATATTTCTCAGCTAGCAAATTATTTGTGTATATTTTATTTCAGATGAATCAAGGATGTGGATATTTAGCCTCAATTTCTGGTGCATGAATCCTGCAGTGGTGAGTTGTTTGACATTACTTTCAGCACATTTTTAACTGATGGGTATATGCTGATTTTGTAGTGTACTAAGTCCAACTATACAGCTTTGTCTTGTGAAATTTAGGCTGGAGTAACACTTTCGACCGACTTTAGAGGATTCGGTTGCTTTCATCCAGACTTATTGACTGAAATTCGCATTCGGAATTCGCAGAAATATGCAATCTGAAAACATTTTCAACTTTTTCTTTTAAAGATTCATTCACACAACATCATACAACATGCGGCCTGAAAATTATTTAGCCAGGGACTTACCTACCGTTGAGTCTTTGGGTGTGAGACCCAACTTTCCCATAGTGTGTTTGGCCCTATTTATGTCTTCGACGATAGATACTCGTACCCCTTTGCCAATTTTGCTAGACTTATTTATGAATTCGGTTGTTTCTAACCATAGAGAAATGATCTTTTACCGATCTCTCATCTAGTGCTCAATGTCGTGTAGGCAGAGATGTACACGGATTGTTGTTAAGGGCCAGACGGTTCTCAGTTGCACTTCTGAGCTTCATACTTGTTGCGATCATTAGACAACTGCGCTCAATCAGACATACGGCGAAAGCAGAAACTTTTATAAATAGTTTCAACAATGAAACCAGTTTAAAATGAAAATTGTTTTCCATTGTAGGTTTTCTCTCCTATTGGACAAAGTACACGCTGCATCATTTTGACATCTGGCACGCTGTCACCGATGACTTCATTTGCATCTGAACTTGGGGTGAAATTTCCCATCCACCTCGAGGCCAATCATGTCATTGATGAAAGCCAGGTGCATAGCTTATATTTCAAACTACATTTTTGACATTCACCCCCATTTTTTCGCTTCAGGCTTGGATAAAACTTTGAAGAACGAGGAGCAAATAAGCTTAAATTTCTTTTGAGGTTTGGCTGTTTGGTTAGAAAAATAGTACTCCAATTCAGATTTATTTTATTTAAAGCTATCTTGCAATATCTTCCTAACTTTCAAGGCCCATTCTAACTCAATAATCTGGTTAGTCTGCCAACTGCGATCCTTGGACAGGGTGCCGTTCAATTTACACTGTGTCCCTCTCATATATAGACATTTTTGATACTCATTTTTGTTTCAGTTCAGTTTAGTTTTATTTTAAATTCCATTGGATACATACACTTGTTGCAAATTAGAAATAACCCAAGCTTAAAAGTATAAACAATGTAAAATGAAGTTAAATAATATAAACATAACATATCAAATACAAAGTAGAGGAGAAACAAACTAGTATTGTAAACAGGGAATTATTTAAAGGAGGAAACTTTCTCAGTAGTTTATAAACTAATTGAGGAGAAAGCACCCCGTAGAAAATTAGATGCTTTCTGCTTAATTTTTTATTTCTAAAAGTAAAAAAGATCATCTGTAAGTGGCTTTTAGTCTTCCACAGAGAAATATCATCTATGTATAGACTAAGTTTAAAAACCATCATTGATTACTATGTTGTTTTGTAAAAATATTTTAAGATTTTTTTAAAAAAAATATTTTGAAGGAGAATTTTTAATTTCTACTGGTAGGTCATTCCACATTTTTGCCCCCATATATCGAATAGACTTCAGGCCATACCGAAAACTGTTCCTATGAGTCAAAAACAAATTTGTTGCCAATGCAATATAAAAAAGCTTCCTAACCTCCCCCTTCCACTTTGGTTTTGATGCGTTAAAATTTTTATCTTCAACTTCCTTCAACTACCTTGTATCTTTATTTTTTCAGTAAATCATTATCGATACATTGATGGTTTCATTTTATGAATGTTTTTTATTTCAGGATTATCAATGATAATTTTTACAAATATCTCTTTAATCCGTTCCTTTGTTTATTTATTGATTAAGGATTCCCATCTTTTCTTCCAGTTATCATTAAGGATTCCCAACTTTTCTTCCAGTTATCTTCCTTTAATAATTTCCTCTTCAGCTTTTTAAAACTGCAAAAAAAGATGATATACACGAATAATTTCTTTTTATTTAGGTCTGGGTTGGTGCATTGACAGTTGGTACTGACAACAAGTCTATTGTTGCGAACTATCAAACTTCAGAGGTAAGTTATAAACAAGGACATTCGCAGTAATAACATCATTGAACTTAATGTATCACTCACCTTTGCCATTTCTCCTCGTCATTTGAATGTATTTTCAAAATGCGACAGTTTCTTGGAATGAACGATGCAGTTGTCGCCCGTCCCCTAAAAACAGAGACATCAGTGTTTTCTGCTCAGTGTGTCTGCTTTTTTTATGGCTTGACGAGTAGGGGTGAAGCTTCTTGAGATCGGGGTCTTACGACGATTAGTTCTAAAAATCACTTTTTGCTAATGTTTCTTTTGAGACATTTCTGTGGGGCTCTTTTCTTTTTTAATAACACTACTACAGGATCTAGGCCCATTAATACTTCTTGAATCTTGCATAAGAAAAACTTTAGTGGCTGCTGTACCCTGGGTGTAGCTCTTGTGCCCAGGGTATGGTTGCTGTAGATCAAAAGTAGACAATTTATTTTCCCAAATGGCCATACAGTATACCTGGACTGTTGCAGGGGTCTCTCTTCACCTAAGTGAAAGGCATAAAAATCCCCCAATTCATAGGATCAAACGGATATAAATTCAATGGTAGTCTTTAAAATCAAAGCAATGCGATATTACAGAATTTATGCCTTATTTTATTTGGGGGTGGGTCAATTAGGGACAGATTTAGGGCCAGCAGTGGCCTGTGCGTCGTTCTGAATCAAGGGAATGAAACAGAAATTTACTAATGATATAATCTTGTTATTAGTTTAGCTATGCACAAAAATTGTTGATAACCTTTGATGAGTTTATACATTGTTTTTCAGTTATTTAAATCTTTCTTTTAGACATTTCCTTTCCAAGACGAAGTTGGAAATGTGCTACTTGAAGTTTGCAAGGTATATATCGCCTGTTTATCTAAGCAGACAGCTACAAAGCTTGAGATAACCCGAGATGACTGCAAATAAACTTTCTTCCCTCGAAAATCCTGTCTTGTCTACTATGTGTCTACTAAAACGCGTGATTAATTGTTTTAACAGAATCTGGATTCATAATATTCATATTTCGTAAAGCTCTCTAAACTTCTGAAAAAATAGGCAATATAGATTTGCAGGGCAGAAAGCGGTGACAGTAGACTTGAGAGCTTTCCCATCAAAACCTTGTCAGCTATTGATGGATTCAAGTTGACGTCATCAATTTTGTATCTCGCTATCTAGGAACTTTTTCGAAAATGGACTTCAGAATTGCAGTCTTCATCTTTAAATAAGTTTATACTGAAAAATTCATGTTGTTTGGACCGTTCGGTCGCATATTACTTTGTTTCGAATAATTAGACATTTCTTTAGAGTTGACCGGAACTCGCTGCTACAGTGAACAAATTTCACTACAGCAACAAATTTCATTGAAATGTATAGGAAAAGCTAAGTTTTGAAAATTGGGTAATTCGCAGCCTGACGGCCCAAACCATTTGAAATTTTTGGCACAGGCTAATTTCAACATTAAGGTTCCAATTCTGTTATCCATTTTTGCCAAATGTGAAGATACAAATTGCTCGAATCCGAAAATCAGTACTTTAGGTGATTGTATCCCAATTTCCTATACATGAAGGCCTATTCACAGGATAATTCCATTCTTCTGTTCATATCATTGGCAAAAAGGCAATATTACCAAAGTGTCTTCCTTTAAATTTTTTTAATTTCATGAAATTTCTCATCTTTAAAAATAAGGAAAACTTTTCTTACCATTATGATCTATTATAAAGAATTAAGGTAATTTGATGTAGATCAAGTAATGTGTGATCAAGTAATTAGCTGCCTTATGATACCACTAAGCAGAAACTTGGAATTGCAATGTACAGTTCTTTCTATATGGCATCAATGCCTGCCAAAAATCTTAATATACTAACATCAATTTTCAATGGCCAATTCAGCGAACCCCCTTTCCACCTTTGAACAATGTTGGTTCACTGCAAAACGACATAGAGGATAAGGAAGAACATTTTTTCAAGGATCTGTATGATATTTGCCTGTACTATCAAAATTGTTTTTTTGGAGGGGGGTTGTTTTCGGGGGAGAGCAGATGCCCAAGTAATTGGGAAAAATATTGAATGATATAATAGCACAATGCAAATGGTTGGGTGTTCCAAGAACTTTTGCCATGCATTATAGCGCTATACAAACTGGTAGCCAACGACCTCAAATATAATTGGATCAGATTTTGGCTGTTTGATTTGGACAGTTGGCTGAATTTTCGCCCTTTAGTGTGTCATAAGCAAAATCCCTTTTTTCTTCATCATTCACCAATTATAAATTTAGCCTGATTAATTTATGTTGTTTCTTCTAGGTGATTCCCCGTGGAGTCCTATGCTTCTTTCCATCGTACGCCATGCTGGACAAACTGAAGAGAAGATGGGAGGTTTATGATTCTTCTTTTTTCTTTTTCTATGTCAAGTCTATATGAATTATGAGCTCTAATTCAATAATGCTAAGTACATGAAGTCCAGAAAGTGCCAGGAAGAGATTGCATCTCTAAAAAAATGATGGTATGATGCATTTTGGTATCCAAGGTATAGTATCAAAAAGGATATCAATAAGGACAAAAGCAAGAGGGTAAAAATGATGCACGACAAGAAAGTGTCTACCCTTTCTTCCACGATTATCTGCGATGGTTTCCATATGTTATCAAAACTGCTACCTAGCTTAGTTACCGCTATAATATTCAATTACACTAAAATGAAAGTGGCTGCGTAAAGTATAAAAGAAATTTGTTTCTGTATTTGTTTCTACCTAGCATCCGAGGGTAGTTTATGGGACACTGAGAAGCTTCTACTTATCGAGCAGTGTCCTGGTCCTTCCTCTCGATGTGACCACACCTCGTGATTCCTACGTCTGGAATTAGGAATTACAGAGAGCTGGCGACTCTCCTCACTCTGGGTCAAAGTTTGGTCATGCCAGAGACTCGAACCACGGACCCTTGGGTCTGTAGTCAGCGCCTCTAACAACTGAGCCATCCTCGCGATAAAAAAATGATAAGTGTAGTGTAATGTAAAGTACAAAATATATGATAATTTATCAACATCATTTTGCTAGTTTTGCTCATAGATTTCATAAAGTTGATAAACCTGTTCAGTCATTCTTTGTTCGCAAGAGAGTTTTTTTATAATATTTGCTTCAACAAAAATAATGTGTCTTCTCCTGTAATTTCTTTGAGCTGTGCGTTTTATAGTATTGCGTGTCAGTCAAATATATATTATTTTACAAGTGATATAGCAACGAGGAATCATAGACTTTGAATTTATTTGTATTTATTTATGTTATGATAAGTTGAGTGCCATCTTTTTCTAGTCCACGGATCTTTGGAGAAAATTGCACGAAGTTAAAAGAGTGTTTTCAGAGCCCAGAGGATCCGACAGAGGAGGTGAGTTTTCTTGATTTCTTTCAATATAGAAAAACTTTTTTTTCAAGAGTTTTACCGAACATCAAAAACAGTTTTTTGTAAGGCTGCTTCATCGTCTAGTAATTTTGAAAACTTTCTACATTGATCACTTTTTGAGAATACACAATCTGAATAGTGCTAAATTTGGATCGAAATGACCCAAAAAAAAACTCACTTAGTTGGCTTTCGACCATCCAGTATCCTTCTGCTTTCCAAAACCATTACATCATTGAAAAAGCTTTGTATAGAAAAGAATTATCTTGTTTCACATTAATTAAATAATCTTTTGATTATATAAACAAGTCCAAGATAGAAATACCAAAGACTTTAACAGACCTGTAATTTTCACTTGATAATGGGGTATGCTGAAAACAACGTTACCCTTACTTTTTATTGTACAATTTTATTTCAAATTTAAAGGTATTTTACTACATGATATTGTACGACATTCTACTATATTTATTAAACGGGATTGAACAAGACGACCTCCCCTTGTCAATAAATAAAATTATTTCTTCGTTGTTGACTTCGTGCATCTTTATGCATAAGAATGTTTATGCATAGGAATATTTATGCATAAAAATATTTATGCATAAGAATATTTATGCATAAGAATATTTATGCATAAGAATATTTATGCATAAGAATATATATGCATAAGAATATTTATGCATAAGAAAATTTATGCATAAGAATATTTGTGCATAAGAATATTTATGCATAAGAATATTTATGCATAAGAATATTTATGCATAAGAATATTTATGCATAATTATGAGTTGGCCTAATTTGTTGCATATTTTCTTTCTAGAAATGGATTTCATTATGGACGATTTCTACTCATCAGCCAATGGTGTGATACTGAGAATAATATTTCAATACAAATATTTTACTTTCCTTCGACCAGTTAACTACTGAAGTATTGCCTTACGAGCTTTTAGTTTAAATATGCAGAAAAAGACGTCTTTATATTTTCAAATTCCAATTGGCTTTTCTTTTACGATTCTTTTTTGCATTAAGTAAGAGTCCCATGAAATTTGTATCACCTTCTCGTGTTTCTTTCGATGTAGTCATCTTTTTGTGTAACTTTCCTATAACTTTTGTAGATCTAACAGCAGAGGACCACACTGGAGGTCTTTTGCTTGCAGTTTGTAGGGGGAAAGTCAGCGAAGGCCTAGATTTCACTGATGATAACGCCCGGGCCGTCCTCACGGTACACTGAAAATTATTTGATCAAAATTATTAGAACTTTTTAAAGGGCGCAGTAAGAGTCAATTTATTCTTAAGACCCCCTCTACCTTAGGAATCCCTCTGCCTTACCTGCCACCATAGCTTAGAAATCACCCTAAAGACATTATTGCTCATCTTAACAGTGAGTTTTACCTTACGTTTTTTCCTTATCATATTTCACTTCTCCGACCTTACCTACCAGTATCCTACCTATACCCTACTATATCTTATCCCATCCTAGTCGTGTTTACCCTATCATCCCTTACCCTACCCTACCTTATCTCACCCTGCCATGCCTTATCCTACCATACCTTAACCTACCCTAGCCTACCCTACGCTATTCCAACTCATCCTACCTTACTTTACCCTATCATATCTTACCCTTCTTTACCTATATTGTAATAAGCCAAATATTGAGACGTAAAAAGACTTCAAAGTATATTTATCGTCGTCATAATCGTACACATAGAAAACTCACTTACAACACGTGCCAACTGGAATAGAGGCTAGACATAATTTATGCGCACATTTTAATACTATTGTTCACAGGGGACAACACAGTGAATTTTCAATTTTCATCATAAAATTATTTTTGCTTTATCACGAAATTTTCAGTTTTGTTAAACGAAGTGTTTTGCCGCAGGGATTTACTGATTTTGTGACATTCCCTGGACATTCATTTTTAGGTTGGAATTCCGTTTCCAGATTTCAGAGATACGCAAATTGATTTGAAGAAGAAGTACAACAACGAGCATTGCAAATCCCGTGGGCTTTTGACTGGTTCAGACTGGTACGAAATACAGGCATACAGAGCATTGAACCAGGTACTGTGTACTGTGTTGCTATTTCGTAACTTAAGGAGAGACACTGTATATCAGATACGGTGAAAATCCATGAGCTTATCAAACGCGCTTTTTTCTCTCTGGGGAGTGTAACTGCAACGCCACGAGGAATAACGACTATTATTATCACCCTTGGGATTGCAAATTAAAGAGAGATATTGACAACTTGGATAAGCTCAGTATAAAAGTTTGAATGGTAGAAAACTTTCATATTTTTAAACATGATGAATAGCATCAATCAATTGTGAAACTTTTGAACTGTTCTTTTTCTTGCTAGGTTTTTATTTCCTACAGCATTTCGCATTTCAAAGCAGCAATAATTAAAGTTTTAGGTTTTATTATAAAAATTTTTTTCTTCAGGCTCTTGGAAGATGCATTAGACACAGGTATGATTTAATTTTCTTGCTAACAGATAAAATGAAAAAGAAAGCATACCAATTTGCATTTCAGCCACATATACCTTCATTCTCCTTTTCTTCTTTTGCTTGCAATAATCTATGTGTCGATTATATTTCCAGTTTGACTTTCATTTCTTTATAATAGCCCATAATTTTATAAGTGAACTTGTTTTCTGTTATCGTGTGAACATTGTGATGCTGTTTGGTCCTCGCTTGGTTCACTTTAGCAATTAGTTTTTAGAATGTCCTACTAGGATTATTGTTATCAAAGATATAACTGCTGAAATTTTTAAAATAGGAAATCTGATTTTCCTTATTTGTAAGTCATTAGTTACAGAGCTTTTTTCTTAAAATGAAAATAAAGTTAAATACATCCATTAGATGCTGAATCCAACGGAACTTATGTACGTGCTAAAGCAATTTATGTGTCACTTGATGCTTGAAGAGCAAAACGACTATGTCATGGAATGTAGCTTGGAGTGTTGAAGTCTCTTCAGGCTGCATCTACATATGTTCAGATGCCTCTAAAAAACGATTCATTTTTAACAATTCTCGGTCCATATTAGGACAGGTTCTGAACGTAAGCTCTTAGATAATCCGAAAATGGCCAGTATCTCAATATAACGGTCTTTAAAACCCATTGTTTAACGAGACTTAGAACACAGTATTATTGTGGAATTATTACTGTTTAAAGGAAATTGAAATATACCCGTTCTTAGAGTTGCGGAGAGGTGGATTTTGATAGAATCAACATGAAAATCTATTTGTTTATAGGAAAGATTGGGGAGCTATCATCCTCTTGGATCAAAGATTTGGGCGTGGGGACAAGTACAAGAAAGGGCTTTCAAAGTGGGTTCGTGGTAAATGCAGAATATTCACAGAGTTCAACCGATGCAAGGCGTCATTGAAGTTTTTCGCAGAGGTAAGACAAGGACACTCTCCGCAACAGCAATCTCAAGAGATGCCAATGAATGCCTCGTCAGATAAGTTGTGTGATGCCGATGGTAGCACTTGCTGCACTGATAATGTTGATGTGAATAAAGTCGGTGTGAGGGTCTTGGATGTTAAGGCTTTAGTTGGAGGGACGACAGAGTCAGGGCTCAAGAAAAAGGTCCCGAGCAGGGATCGTGGTGCAAGAGCACTTGGCGTCCAATTTATAGACCCACCAGCAACTGCCGTTCAACAAAACCCTGCCGAGCCAAAAAGCGTAGGATTGGGTGAGAAGGAACAACAACGCCATAATGGACAAGAGAACATCCCTCATTCTGGTAACAAAGTACACCAAAGTGAAGATGTTAAGGAAGAATGCCTTCAGAAAGTTACAGAAGAAGCAATTATTAAGAATCCTATGCCTGCTGCAATTATCAAAAATAAAGGTCATGATCAGAAAACCGGATTTGAAGATGTAAACAATGACCTTGCAGCCAGTCAGTCTAGAGCATTTTTTAGTAGAAGCAGTCCAATTATGGTCGAAGGCATGCCAAAGATAGCAGATAGAAGACATGCGTTTTATCAAAATCGTTCTAAACTTTTTAAGAGCTCGGATAAACAACCCATTGATAACACCGCAGGCTCTCGTAAGCGCAGTGATAAAGAAGAGCGGAAAGTTTCAAATGAAATCATTGTTCTTATTGATGATGATGATGACGATGAAGTTGCTGTTTCTAGTGCAATGACGTCAAACACGGGGACTGCCTCCACCACTGTAGCTCAGTCCAAGCTGTCTGATCATGGTGCGAGCTCCCGAACACCTGAATTGTTTTCTGAAGAGGCAAACGAGATCGATTATTTGAAAGATGATTTTTGGTCGAATGCTTGTGATAAGAAGGTAACTAATGGTAGAAATGGCAACAAGACACCCGTAACTAAGGCTTCCCAAAACGAAACATTCAAGAGAATGTCACCCGAGAATGAGAACTTAGAAATCTCCGAAAAGAAGGTCCATGATGCAAAAAGTGCCTCGCGTCCGAAACGCGGGAGTGCTGCAGGAGACGCATCAGCGACAACATCCTTTGAGGACGACTTTCCCACACCTTGCTCCAGATCGAAAAGAAGAAATTCAAATTTGAGAATGGCTTCAAAGATTGAAACAGACGTCTGCAAATCAGACTACAGTCCACAAGTAAGATTTGTTACAAAGTTCTATTAAGAAGTGAATTATAATAGCTTTCTGTTGCTCTTTGTTTATATAGCTGGATACTGTCAAAGGTCAATTGTCTGCAATAACAATTGAGTTGTGATGCAAAACCTGAAAGTATGTTTTAAAGTACGACATTGTCACACATGATGATACCGTCGAAGGATATTTAGGTATATTTTATCCTTAATTGTTTTTGCCATAAATTGTAAGATTAGACCTTTGACTGTGATATGACGGTGGGACAACCACTTTTACTGGTTTTGTTTTCACTCCACCTTCCTAAGCCATTGCGAGGAAAATGACAAGTAACCCACCTCGACATAGGTTTCCCCATGTCCTGGACCTCATTTTCTTATTCATTTGTTGATAAACCAATTTCATCATTTTCTTATCTAGAATGATTTATAGCTGTACTTCTACAAAGCTAACTTTAGTTTTCAAAAAATTGCCTTTCAGAAGACTGCTGCTTGCTCGAAATGCAAAACTGAGCTCATTGCAAATGGTAAGAGTTTTGACTATTGTAAAAAAATGCACAGGGAAGAAGCATTTCCTAAAAGTTTTTTCGATGTCCAGTATTCCAGGCAATGGAAAAAAAATTCGATTTTCGTAACGAAATTATTAAAGCTACTCAACTAATCAACGTCACTTAAGAAAACTTCTTTGCTAAAACTGGCACCTCCTTTTTGGAAACATTTATTTTTCTCCATAATAGATAAAAAGTTTATTTTGTGTTTAAGTTTGTGAATTTGCTTCTTGCTAAAATTGCCTGCTAAGAAAGAAGTCCCTAAATTTACTAGTCGTATATTTTTTACTTTTTTGTTTTTTTGCATGCTTGTAAATCTAATCTCCATTTTTATTAGTTATTTGAATTATTAGGAAGTTATTAGGAAGTTATTTGAATTATTTAAGTTCTTTAATTTAAAAGTGTCTAATTTTTTTTAGTGGAATTAATAAGCCAATTAAATAACTGGACTTGTAACTCATCGGACGTTCCGCATTTGTCTTCTTTAGGCACAATTTTTCAGAAGATGATCCAGTCAGCTTTACTGGCAAGGTTTATGGGCGTGGTTGTGGTACCTTTCCAAATTCTAGAAACCTCTTTGTCTTCATTGAAAAATTATAAAAGTTTAGACTGTGTTCAAAAGTGTGACTGCCGCTCGTCTTTGAAGGGTAAATATATTTTTGCTAAGATTTTCTCATCCTTTTTTGATTTTCTTCCTCGTGTGCTCATTGAAAAATTCAGTAGAGTCTCTTATAAGATTTGTACGTAAGGGCACTGCCTATCAGAGAGAGCATTTTTCCAGGGCCTAAAACATGATGCGGCAGGATGGTAAGGTCATGTTGTTGCTGCCTTATACCTTCTTAGTGCTTAATCGGGTAACTATTGCGCAGGATGAACAAGAGGCGAGGCTCCAAATTGTGTCTCAGACACGAAGCCGTTATTGCTACACTCTTACTAGTGGACGGCTTTTTCAAGTTTTAAAATTTTTCTACTTCTTCATGAATTGAAACTGAAATTTGAAATCTAAATTAGGTCTTTTACAGATGGAATATTCTTCTTGGTATCGATTTTCTACAGGTTTTTAAACTTCAATGTCCACTATCGATTCTTCGTCTTTGAAATAGACCTCCGGCTGAATTCCATATACTCTAAAGATGATGGCGCGCTGTACATTCCTCTCTGTTGCAAAAGCTGTTACAAAAATCATCGTCGTAGCGAAGTCATTGGGTTCCAGATGCTTCAAGTTTCAAAGCCAACAGAAGAGAAAGTAAGCTCTTTTAGATTTCGGAGGTTGCCTGATTCAATATCGTTGTCCCAGAAGATACGTGACAAGCGAATTTTTTTTCCCTCATAATGCTGATTATCAAATGGAATGTGATTTAGTTGGTAATGCTAGGGAAAGAGCCTATAGCTTAGCCCTAAGGAAAGGGAAAGGGGGGAGGGACTAGGAAGGGAGAGAGGAAGATCAAGCTTTTTATTTTTGTTTTCAATAAAGACAGGCTGTAAGAGTCTGGGAAACAGGAAAGGTTAGAGCATTCTAAAGTTGTCAGGACCTTAAAATCATTAAGACATTGAAAATTCCTTGTTGCAAGATTCCCCCTTTCTACTAACCCCAGAAAATATAGCAGTGCTTAATGACAATAGTTTTTCCTGTTCATCTATTTGATTTATCTATTTATCTGTAACACCACATTTTGATTAACTTCTCTTTTTTCCATAGGTCGATTCCAACGAAGAAGACCGTGTATTTTTGTTTCCAAATGCAGTCTCAATCAGATAAAACTATTTCCTTAGCTACGTGTAGAAATCAATTCTAATATTTTAGAAGAATTTAAAACAGGAATAAAGTATATTTTATAGTAGTACATTGCAGAATATTTATTTTTGTTTGTATAAATGCATCAGTGAGATTTTTGGTTATTGTTCGTATTATACATTCAATTTACAGCAATCCAGTAACCCGTTTACCAGAAACAGGAGTATTTGGTGTTCACGTGTCTAAAGCTCTCGAGGAAGATCATTGAAAATCACGACAATCGTACCACACTATTTTTAATATTCCGTAATAAGTGAACTGAACAATTTACGAGGGAAGGATAAACAAGCTACTGGAGTTTGTTGGTCACATATCGTCAACCACTTTATGCAAATTTGTGATTTGCTTTGTGAATAAAGTAAATACCCGCATATAAGAAACTGCTTTTTTAAACTGAGGCCTCAGAAAGTTTCTTACTAACAGAAACTTTTCATAATCAGGGTTTAAGTGTCTTATCAATAAGTGCTGTCAAGTCAAATCAAGTCAAGCTATATGAACGACAGTACCTTTCATGGACGTGTATTCAATATTACTGGTAAAAATGTATAATACATAACCTACAGTATAATTCTTCATATCAATAGACTACACTCTCTACAACCATCCTAAAGCATAAACAGAAAATATGAAACAGGACTGTTTATACTTCAAATAAGAGACATTTTAATTTCAGGCCTATTTTTTTCTTATGAAATAAGCCCCTTTTGAAGAAAATGAGGTCTGTTTCTTAAACAAGAGGTTTTTTTATATGCGGGTACTTACTGTATCTCATATCATGAAGTATGACGTAGTTGATGGGAAAAAGCTACCAGAGATTGATATCCAAAAAAAAGAGAAGATATTGACTGAATTTATTTGAAATTATGCAAACCTATTGACTCGTTTTATAATTTTTGTAGATAAGGTCTCTATTAACAGTTAGCCAGTCAGTCCATCCGATTTATCGATTCAGTTGATCGTACCAACATAAATCAAAAATTTTTTGGTTAATAGAAAAATCTCTGACAGCAAGATTTCATTTCATGTAATAATCGATTTATGTTCGTATTGCCATAAAGATCTGTTTTGTTGTAAAGTTAAGAGTTTTTTTGATAATACATAATGTTTCTTTTGAATCTAAATTTATGTTTGTTCATTGAATTATAATCATCAGATTTAATTGTGTATTAAGTTTATTTGTTAATGAATCCGTTTTGTTGCTGAATAGAGTATCGGTATATTGTACTATTCTTCATAAAATCATTAAGAATCCATCAATTATTAAGAAAATGATTCAATTCAGAATTTTTCTCGTTTTTCTCTATCAGTAAGAGCTTATTTGCGTTGTTTTTGTATGTGAGTCAATTTTCCAACGAGGTAAATTGATTACAAATAGACATTTTCTACTGGTATCTCTGTTTGGCAAGCTGTAGTGTTTTCTAAACGAAGTTACCGTTTCCAAGATTGCTATGGCTTTGCTTTTAAGTGATGTAGGCTAGTTATTTTTAAACCTAATGCATCGGAAATATAATATTTGATCCACTCGTTTTTATGTCCTAAGATATGTCTGTGCGAATATCGATTTGAAATATGAAACATTGTTATGGTAATGTTGGAATTATCTGCTCAAAATATTTTCTATGAGAACCTACAAGACAAATAAAACGCATTGTCTTCCAAAGTTATCATCGAATGTTTCATGTTTAAAGGCAATCTGTCTCGTTGTGGATTGGTTAACGAGAACAATAGCTGGAACAATAGCCTAAACACGATTCCAGCGCTTCGCCATATTTTTTACAATGCGATAAATTAAAAGAGGACTGGAAACAATAGAAAATCCCTTTGTTCTTATAATCAAGCAACGTCGTGACAGATTGCCTTTGAATTGTATGAAATTCTAAGCTTTTTGCTTCCCTTATAATTCTTCCATATGCAACAACTCTTGTATATTTTTTCAGATTTCCCACAATGTTGTCTTGCTAAAACTGCTAGGGAGAATTCTTAGGACATGAAAATGTAGTGGAAAGATGTTATGCTTGAAGACTGTTTTTGCTTTTGTTGATTGGGGAAAGTTGTGGAAATGTGACAATTTTTACTTGAGAAGCGTACGTAATTATGAACTGACAAACTAGTTGTTAACTAGTTGTTAACCGCATACTTATGAACTGAAGATACGAATCGAAAAGGTCCAAAGAAACGGAGCTCGTTTTGTTATGGGAGAGTACCGTCAGAGATCTAGCGTGACAGTTTGATTGCAACAACTGAAATGGGACTCACTCGAATCACGTAGATTACTATTCCAACTGAAATATGTTCATAAAATGTTTACAATCAGATTGCTTTGGACCCTAATGTTTTCTTTTCCCCTGCAACTTGTTCAATGACAAGGAACTCTAACTCATTGAAGATCGTGCCTAATTCGGAAGGGTTGATGTTGTTAGGTTTTCATTTTTTATTCAATTGTTTCTGTAATTGTTTCTACCAGACAGTATTGTGATGCAGGCAAATTTGGATACCTTTTACAACCTATGTCGAAATCACCTCAGTAAATTTTAATGTTGCAGTTGACTGAGCAGACATTTGTATGACCCAAAAGGGTTGTTAAATGTGGATGTGATGATGATGATGATGATGATGATGATGATGATGATGATGATGATGATGAGTGGTGTAGAACGAGGGCGGTCAGACGGGACCTCCCTGTAAAGCTAAACCGCTTTTTTGTCGGAAAACATCTAAAACTTTGGAAAAAGCCCCAAAGGGGCTTAATAGAGCTTTTACAGTATGATATGGTCATCTATTTTTATCTACCATTTTGGGAGGAAGGATTTTAAAGCTGAATATAACGACTTCTTCCGTTGTTCTGAATCAGATTGGCCATCTCTTTCAAATGCCTTTGTTAAAGTGCCTGTGACATCATTTTCGTACTTTTGGGTTATATATATATATTCTTATGTAAAAAGGCCTGTTATTTTCATTTCTGAGGTTAGTTTTTACGTTTCGTGAGAAATGAAAGAGTTATTGGCGATCTTCTACGCCAAAATTCGCCATCTTGGTTTTCAGAATGAGTAGACAGTGACGTCACGAGAGGGACCCGATCGCCTCCTCCTTCGAGTTTTAGTATCGTAGTAAATGGGGGAAATCTAATAGGTCCAAGATAAGCGATATTTCCAGAAAAAGTAGTGGCAACGAGGATGAGATTTTTGAAGGTAGCGCTTACATTGTTACAATAACGAGTTCCTCCCATGACGTCACAAGAGAACGGCGAATGATGATAAAACGACTTGGCTAGGCCGCACTATTTTGCTTAATTTCAATATCAAAACGCTTTTATTTAAAAAAAAAGTTCAGATGTACTATAAGAGCAGTGCAACGCTTCAATTAAGAAATTAAAAAATCATGTCACAGGCACTTTGAGGGGACGAATAGAAAAGTCTTCAACTCGTAATGAATGATAAAACTTAGCCTCTTGTTCTATTTCAGATATGTCTTGTTCAAATAAAAGAAAAAACGAACTTTTTCCTGCACATATTTTTGTCAGAAAATCTAAATTTTTTGCCCCTCTCATGAATTCTTCATCTACTTCACTAAATAAGATATTTTCAAAACATAAGATTATATTTTGCTGTTGTACAGATGAAAAATTGAAAAGATTAGCAAACATTGAAAAAAGTTGAAAAATTGCTAGAAAAACCGCCGAGAAATAAATACTTTAGATAAAGTTTTAGGCCGTTTACATAGAAAAGTATATTCTTCTGGTGATGTTTGAGATACCTCATTGCGAGTGCCTCATTTCCATGCAAACGAGACAGGTTTAGCGGAAGTCGTTCATCAACACTCATTTGGCACTTGGTTAGGCACTAATCTACAACGCTGCCAGACAAATTTCATGCTATTTGGTCGATTTGGTGTGGTGCTTTGGGACTACACGATCACAATTGAGGATTTGAAACATTATCATAGCGGAAACAGTCCAGTGTCTCCAAAGGATTGTGTAGATTTGTGAGTTGGCCATTGTTTTTGTCTAAACCCATTACATGTCCTTTCGGCAAAGAGGTGATCCACCACAATGGACATCCTGCCTGCTCACACTCTGTCTGATTTGTGATTGATTCTGAATAAGTTGTTGGAAAGAAATCGTTGTTCGTATCAGTGTTGGAAAAGATATCAACATGGCAGCACTGCCGAGTCGACAGAGGATGCAATGGGAAGAAATCTGTGACGATTTTGCGAAAGTCGCTGCCATCGAGTTTTCACGAAAGTGTTATCAATTTGTTGCCGATCACATTGTTGACGATGCCCCGACCTTTTTCGCAAAAACATCAAAAAGGTTTGTCGACAGATTTAGGCAAGACTATGAAACCGAATTGCAGAGAATTATGAACAGCGAGCGTCCAGTTTCACGCCAAACAGAGCAAGACGTTCCCTACCGTGATAAATCTCAAACAGACACCGGGGAAGGCAAAAGTCCTAAACAGAGTCGAGTTAGCAGAAAATTTTCGATGCGGTTGAGAAATATTTTCAAGAAGCAAGAGAATAAGGAGAATATAGAGCCTTCAGCGCAATCAAATGGTGATCACGATGTTGGCGTACTCGTGGACATATCTCCTGAGAAAGAAACCATGTCATCAACAGGAAACGACAAGACAGGAAGTGGACACGATATCATAAAAGAAGGATTTCTCCACGAACTGATCAACATTGAGAGAAATGGCGACGTGGAACTAACTTGGCAAAAATGCAGGCTGGTTTTAGCAAGAGCACCCGGTGGATATATGCTAGAGTTCTACATACCCCCAAAGGTATTCCACTCTTTAATCTCTCAAATGCTCCCCTTCAGTCAGTCTCAGAAAACGGCGTTCTTTTTGCTCCGTCAATTTTTGTTGCATTACTCATTTCTTCAAAAGCAACGTGAGTCAAGAATTCCAGAAACCTGAGTTATCGTATTTGTTTAAGGGAGAATGATTGGTTTATAATTCGAATAGTTCTTTACAAGCACATGGCAGTAGGCCAAATATGGCAAGATATTTTGTATACATGGGTGTATTCATTATTCGTAAGATGGCTTCACACCAGGGGGAAGACATGTAATGCCAGCTGTCTGGAGACAATAGAAACACCCAGCATTTACATCTTCATTTTGATAATAGGGACTAAAATTTAAACTATTTTCCAGCTGTTAACAACCAATCAACATTCAGCAATACTGCAGTGCTAGAAGTTAATAGCCAATTAATTACTGACTATTATACTTGGTTTATCAATCAAGAATATAACAAAGTTATTGGAACCAGAGAGCACAAGGGGTATGTGCCCCCTTTTTAAGAAATAATGGAAAAGTATCTACTTGCACCTTATAGAGGTGCAGCTTTTTGGACTACATCTTTCCATCCCCTCCCCCCACTTTTAAAATACTTTCTACGTCTTTTGAATAAAAAAGTTTTGTTCTTCATATTTACTCTCTTTCGCTGTATATTTATATAAAATTTGACCTGATCTTCAGCAGTATTTTCCCAACACGTTCCAAATTCTTTAGGAATTTTTTGGCTTTTTGTTTTAATAATAAGGTGATTCTACATCAAATCAAAACACTTTTGTCCAAATAGTCTCAGATGTAGACAAAATGTGGTAGGCCAATTAAAATCAATGCCAATGGCTGATTTACAAGGGCAGAATGAGTTCTACTCAAAGCTGATTCCAGTACCTTTATAAGGTCTATCAAACACCTTTAATCTGCAAAGCCTTTTCCACCTCCCTCCCCCCTTCTGGACCCCACGTACCTCTACCCCCAAAAGACCTTAGGGCATATTTGCCTTTCCAAGCCAATAAAGCAGTGCTGCCCCAAAACTCAGGACAAGAAGTAAGAGATTCTGAGAAATTGACTAATATCACATGTGTCTCAGTTAACTGTCTCAAGCTTAATGTTATCGATCTGCAGATTAACATTTTAGTGCTTTTGAAGACTAAAATCTAAAATAGTACAAATTTTTGTTGGTGAAATTACTGCTTACTGGTCTGTCGTGTTGTGCTCAAAGCTGTATACACTTGGGTGTATAACATGACACCTCTAAGTTGCACTTCAGGATTATATGCCTAATGCAATCATCAGGCAGCTGTAAAAAACAGGTGTTGGAACAGTTGCCAGTGGCCAAACAGTTGTCTTTATCCATTAGATTACTATTAGCTGCCTTTGTAATTTATGCTATTAATGTTTCTATCATTAAAATATATGTAGTTGTTATGTTTATTAGATTACAGACCGTTTCAGCCTATTTATCTTTTTGTAAAAAAATGATTGTTTGTATCAGGTGTGAAACTCCGAGTTGGTAAGAGCATTTGCCTGCCACATAATAGATGCATGATGGTTGAGTGAAATCTCTGAGTTGCAACTTTGGACAGTTAGACTGTTCTATGCACCAAACTACAATTTAATATATATATGTGTGTGTGTGTGATTTTATCTATAGGCATCCAAACCCAGGACTGGTGTGTTCTGCTTCCTCCTGCATGAAGCCAGGCAGGCAACTGAACTGGAAATGCCAGATGCAGATAATGTGTTTATGGTCAAGGTAAGCTTTTGATTTCCTGTTAAGTAGGCTAAGTGCCATTATACGATATATCTTGTGTTATTCATCTTCTGCAGAATGTCATGCAAACATCGAGTTTTAGGCATGTGTGGAGGCATACTTGTGCCATTGCACACCTAATATTACCAGGTATGAATCATTGGACTTATGATATGATCTATGCCTTGGTTATATTTTGCTTGTATTTGTTTGTCTTAATTTTGTCATAAGATAAGAAGCGGAATGCTTTCATTTAGGCCATCAACAACAAAGAATACATGATTGCTGCAGAAGACAAAGAAGACATGAATCAGTGGTTGGACATAATTCACAGATGCATGGAAGAGGATACCTCAGCACCAAGGTAATACATAGCTAATTTATGCAATGTTTTAGGTTAGTTGTAAATTATTCAATGAATAGCAAATTTCTAAAGTATGCTGATTATGCTACCTGTAAATTTTTTGATTGTATTCCGTTTCATGGCAAATTTGATGAGAGCCACTTTGTTATGTCAACGGGAGACTTAAAGTAATAAATTTTGCAATTGGCCTCATGACAAGGATTTGAGGAGGAAATTTTCTAGTTTTGAAGGGGTAAGGCAGGCCTGGCCGTAATACTTTTAACAGGGGAACAGAAAACAGCTCTCCTAGTAGTATTCAGGTGAGCTTTAAGAATTGAAACAAAGGAAAAATTGTTTTCAAGGAGAGCAAATTTGCTTTTTAGAACAATGTAGGAGAGCAATCTCTAGCTCCCCTCCAGCTTTTGAGGAGAGCCCGAAGGGGAGCAAGAACTATGGCTCTCCTCAAAAGGCCAGGCCTGGTAAGGCACCCAAGCATTGATTGAAACAGTACACATTATCCTCTCTTTTTTCCTTGAATGTTCCTTTTAAGAAATACCGTCTTAAAAACCCAATACTTTGCCTAATAGTAAAAAACCTACCAGTATGTTTTGATACTCAAAATAATTTAGAAACTTTTTAAAAGTTTTCAATAATATGGAAGTTCCTTTCATGTAAAATTCAAATGATTAAAAGGTTTTTTTTATTTGCAAGCACATTTTTCGTATCTTGATTAACATTGAGTGGTATGAGATGTTTGCCTATAATTTTGTGGCTGTTTCAATCTGCAAATTGCATTTGTGTTAATTGCCATAGTTTTTACAAATTATCTTTTGAATTAATTAGAACACAATAGTTTTAGGCAGAGCCCTAGTCCAAAAATGCTGCCAAGTTTATTGATGGTGCAGTATGGATAAAAGTGCTGTCCAGGCACAGAGCTGGGTCAAGTTTATGAAAATAATTTATGCAATGAAAATATTGAAATCTTGCATGAAAAGTCCTCAGAGAAATATGCACTGAAATAAAACAGGACATTGATATGATGGTACACAATGAGTTTAAAACTTTGCAATGTGTGAACCATTGACAATTATTAGCTACTTGCATAATTATAGAGGGCTGCATAAATTATCACAAGATATTGATAGAAAATGCGGACAGGATATTTTTCAATATTGCATAGTCCATAGATATGGCAGCATTTGTGGACTGGGGCGCAGGCTAGATATTTCTCCATGAGCAATAATGAGTAGGTGTACTCTAAACTTTCTGCCATATCTATGGTTTTTTGTAGAATATTGTTTTTGAAAACCTAGGAACTTGCACCTGTTTCACCTACGTACCACTTACCACTCAAAATGCGTCATATATTTTTTTCAATCATCTGTCGATTAACGAAAGAGAACTTCTAGTGTAATGTGTTTGTTTTATGGTCAATTTATGCCTAGTTAGCCACGTCAATAACAAAGCGACAAGTCATTTTTATCGAAACGCTTATTCAGAAAGTAAAGATCGCTTTCACACTTTGCCACGATTGGTAATTGGTAAGATGATCTTGCAGTGTTAGAAATCACACTTTTAAATACTTTGGTTGTGTTTACCAGCAAAAAGTATTGAGTCACTGGCATGACTAGTTAGTCATTGACAGTGGGCAATGCCCACAAAAGCAAGCAAATTTGTCGACAAATGACATAATTTTACCGACAAAACCGATGATTTAGCAAAACCTGGGGAGGGGTGATTGCCCCCCCCCCACACTCCCAACATTTCCGCCATTGGTCATTGACCTGTCAAACATTTCAAAAGCGCGTACAGTAAAAGTACAAATGTCGTACTCAGTCGTGCATATGAATGGAACAACGTGAATATGTTTTGGGCGCCATAAAAACAAAAGTCCCCTTTTCATGTTCGAGTAGACATCTCATTACGCTATGAATTTCCTACTTCATAAACTAATGCAAGATAATTGCTAGTACTTTTATTTTTATAAGAAGAAAAGGCGACACTGAGTACTCTAGTTTAGGAAAACTTCAAAACTTGTTGTTTCTTAAGAGTTTTGTACGTGTGGTGTCATAAATTGTACCATTTGGGGTCATAAATTTATTTTTTTTCTGCTAGGAGATTTTCAATCAGAAATTTGCCTGGGAGAGTTCTCGAACATTGGTAGAGGCTCACAACATTTTTGTCAAGATTTTCCTCTGTCAAGTTTTAATGCTATTATCTAGATTAGGGAGGCATATTTTTCAATGTGGCTAAAGTTTTATGCAAAGCAAGCAATAACACAGATGGATATTAACGAAATTGGAAGTTCTGGTCTTTTTCAAAATTCAGTTGTTTCTTTACAAAGGGAGAGTATAAACATAGTTTGAATAGGGCAATAAAAAATAATCTGGGAGAGAGAGTTTTCTCCCATTATTTTCTACGCATTTTCAGGCCCAATTTGGTAAAAAATTGTGTTTTCTATCCTATTTGCCGACAAATCATCCCTATAAGGCAAAATCCTCATGTTTTAAAGAAGATTTTTAACAAAAATGTCATCAAATCCTTCGCGAACTGCTCGAATCTACGCCTATCGTTCTGATAACTCTTCTACTTATAAATGTCTTGTTTTGGAAAAGAACAACAGCGAGTCTACCAATGACGACACAGTCCCCCGTCGATACAGTCAACGTGACTTTAAATCATCACTGTATACACCCAATATGGCCGGGGGCTGACTCATCAGGAGTCTGGGATTTGATCGTCTCCTACATAAAGTCGAATAATTGTCTCATATATGATTCTGCCTATTTCAGCACTCCGAACCCCATGAACACAGCCACAAACTTTATATTCGATAGCCAGGGTCAGCACGTTCTACTTCAGTTTGAAGATGGTAATTATACAACTTTTTTCTTTAATATTTTCAGTCATTGTAACGATTTTTCAATCTCCCGTTACAACGTCAAGGGCTTTCCCATTTTACTAGCATTACCATTATTCAGGTATTAACAGTGAAATTATCCTAACTGCTTGAATTGGCCTTCGATATTCTTTCCTTTCCTTTGAATTCTGGGAACTTTTCGTCCCTATAGAAATAATGTAGTTTAGATTTCTGTCTGCCCATGAATTTCATCTTTCTATCCCTGCCCATGAAAAAATGTGATTCAGATTTCTATCTGCCCATGAATTTCATCTTTTCATCCCTGCCCATGAAAAAATGTAATTAAGATTTCTATCTGCCTATGTATTTCATCTTTTCATCCCTGCCCATGAAAAAATGTAATTCCGATTTCTTGGTAATTTCTGTTATTCTATTTATTTTGCAGATGAAAAGAGTGGACCGGGGGGTAATCGATCCAAAGTAAATCAGATACGACTGAGCCGTCGAAAAGTTTCAGAGCCGGCCATGTCTCCAAGCAGAGAAGACCAAGGTTTGTTTGTTTCGTGACAAATTTAATGTAATGGAGCAACATCTTTACAATCAACAGAAGTGTGCAATAACCATTTTTAAAAGGTGAATAATTTACAAATATAATTGATTTCATGGATAATGGAAACATTTCATTTTCAATTCAACTTAAACTACAATTACAAATCTCACTATTACAAGGTAATTTGTAACTGGCTTGCCTGTTTTTATAAGAAAATACTTTAACAATCGTAAGATAAAAAGAAAAACTGAGAGAAAAAAATAAAGCAACCAAAGTTAAAAATGATGTAATTCCGGATTTGTCCGTGGCTTATTTGTCATAATAATAATGATAATAGAAATAATAATAATAATAATGATGATGAAAATAATAATGATGATAAATATTGATAAATATTTTAACAGGATAATAATTACAAGATTGCTTTTATTAATGTTTGTCCTGTAAAAAGAAAAGTGCTTTAAAAGAAAATATAAAGATATTATAATCGCAGGTAAAAAAGAGGTTTAATGTTATTAACATAAAACTCATGCGTAGATATTGTTCATAATCTTCATAAAAGCAGAGACATTGTCAGACGTCCTTGGCCGAAGGAAGTTCATTGAAACTCTTTGCACTCATGTAGCTAGAAGTCTAGCTGGTTAATACTGTTAAGGAAATTAAGTAGAAGTTTCCCAGGATGCAAAGCTAAACTTTAGCTGAATTTGGTCCAGAGATAAAGAAGGAATTTGATTCCATTTGGTCTGTAGATGTTATGGGAATAAGGAGATTTTACCAAATGAGATCGCCGACTGTTGGCAAACTTGAATATGAAATATTTAACAAACAAAATACATATTATGGCAAAGTTTAGAAACCCAGAAATGATTTTATCGGCGAAAAAGTGCCAAAATTGCCTCTTCTGACCTCACTGTGACGTAGTTGCCACGCCCAATCCGAGTGCCGTTTTTTCCAAAGGTGCGCCCCCACTAGCTCTACGACCTCCCGCAAACCCCGTTTCGATACCCCTTTTCGTTTTCGAGTTATTCACGAAAAACCTGTTTTGGCCGTTTTTTGCCCTATACCCTGACATGTGTTTTTTGGGGTTTACCCCGCCTTACCCCTTTACCCAACTCTCAGATTTCTTATTCGACTAGGGGCCTTTGTCATTATTTCGTTTTTTTTTTTTGAATTTTTCGATTCCCACTTGCGGTTCAAAAGTTATTCGCAAAAAACACTTTTCAAAAATTTGTCCCATGAATATAAAGACAGTTGCTAGTCTATAGTGTGGCCTATATGACGATTCTAATGTCATAGTTCGCCGATAGGTGTATGAGAATTTGTTCATTTGTTTAGTACTGGATTTCTTGAAAAACTACAGAAAGACTCGAAAGCGCATATCACATTAAAAATATAACTATTGCAAATTACTGTTAACCGGCCGGTCATACAGTGCTCGATGCCGTAAAAGCAGTGCTGTACACACTATTAGGTGTATAGAACAGGACGGTTATAAATTGCCGATCTAAGTTTCACGCTTAATGCGATCATCGGGCAACTGAACAGAAGTGTTTCTCATCATGCCCCTAAAATTCTGAAAATATTTGTTAGCGCTGTCATGAAAAAAAATTCAAACGAAAGACTGGTCCATTATACTGCAGACATCAATTTTAATGTTCAATTTTGTTTTATCAAACGGTTTAGATGCATTTATGGTTGTGGCACCTCCACCTGAAGTCCCGCCTCGTCCTGAGCAGATGCCAACAACCTACAGCGGGGATAAATCAAAACTGGAGGACGGCTCAAGAAAACGAGGTAGGCCTCTTTTCTATCTTATCAAAGCATATATTCGTCAGAATCTACCACCTTGAAGAGCATGACTTTTCAAGACAGTAAGTTCACCAATGATAATAACAATAATAACCCCGATTTATCTTCCAACAAAATGACCAAGAGCAACATGGAATTCATTTCATCTCTATTGTTCTGATGGAATTTTCTTTTTCATAATTCTAGAGACAACAGGCAGTGAGTGGTGCTCATTGGCTGGTGCAAACCACCCCCTGGCCTCATATCCATGGTTCCATGGAACACTGAGTAGAGTGATGGCTTCAATACTTGTGTTACACGGGGGTCAACAGTGGCATGGTGTTTTTCTCGTAAGGCAGAGTGAAACAAAACAGGGCGAATATGTGCTAACATTCAATCTTCAAGGTCGTTCAAAGGTAACTCCAGAATTGTCATGCTTTCGAAATGGTACTTTAACAACGTTCTCAGTGTTGTTGGCATCTGCACTTGAGATCGCAGGTTTTAAATGACTTGTCAACCATCCGGGATAGTACCCTTATCTTTACCCCAGAGACCAGCAATTGCATGTGTCTGGCACTTTTACGAAGAATTAACAAAGCAGGATTGCTCTTATGGTATTTGGGATAGCGAAGAGATACTTATTACAAATCCTCTAGTGATTACAAATTTCAGGCATTATGAAATACGGACACCTCAAAATGACTCAAAACTCCTTTTATCCGTGCTTAATTCTACGCTTCACGATTTTAGGTTTATGCTACTTACATAAGATAGGAAGTAAAACTTCTTTGATAGTTTGTATCATTAAGATTCCTTCCTTTGTTATTTGTCCGGTACTACCCAGACATTGAAACCGGTTGTAAGGCCTGGTCTACATGAACAGTTAAACCTCCATACAGCAGAGAAATTTCTGTCAGAATGACAGTCCATTACAAAGAAGTGTCCGCCGTAAAGAGGTCTGTTGCTTGGAGCCGTCTTTCATAAGGAGGTGTGCGTCGTTATGTTTTCATGGCTCAAAAAAGTCGTACACCGTGCGATCGTACCTACAAATCAAGCTATCGGACGTGAAAATCACAGTAACAAACATGATTTCGTGCTGTAAAACCACATGATACATGATAATACCCAACTTTTTCGATCTGTAAAATATGCGCACGCTATCAGCCAAATGTATGGGCTGTAATGTAATGCATTTGTATGCATTTTATTCTGTAAAAAAATTCCTGTTACGCATCCAAAGTATGCAGGGACTTCTTCCGTAAACATGCTAGAATGTACTCATAGGCATCTCAGGCACGGCAGTCCCTGGTTCTTTCAAAGTTGTTAAATTATTATTGAAAACCCCCACTTATATTTGTAAGCGAGGCCAAGAGTGTAAGTTATGCCTCTGAAAGGAGGCTAGTATGTAAATATTTATTTTGTTTTACACAAGATGTTTTTTAGTTCAACCTGATGTAAAACGAGCCTTCTATCATTTATACGATTCCCTTGTTGGGGTTGGTGCCTAAGGCAACCGCCTCCTTAATACCCCTTCTACTTTCCAGCAGGCCTTCTCCTCTTTACTCATATGGTGGTATTTACGTTTAGCTATTTTTTGCCTCCACAGCACCTGCGTCTTGGCCTAAACTCCGATGGTCAGTGCCGTGTACAGCATCTCTGGTTCACTAGTATTTTCGATATGCTCGAAAACTTCCGGAGCAACCCGATCCCCCTGGAAAATGGAGGTCCTTCTGACGTCACGCTCACAAACTTTGTCATCGCAGAGGAACCGCCCCAAGGCCGCTCTGAAAGCAGCTCAAACAACGCAAGCGTGTTCCGGCGGTCACAAAGCTATACGCCTGGTGCCATGAATCGTGTAGCTGCCCAAACGAGAATACATAACGGGTCTGTAAGGCTGACAAGGCAGAACCTGGATGCAGCATTGCCTTCTCGGGCTGTCGACAACGCTTACTCCGTAGTCTAAAAAACGGTTGTCCTTCCTAATCTGTTTGGTGTCCTTCATAAAAGTGTAAAGATGAAAGAAATCCATTCGCTATCTGTTTCCTGCGTGAAGTACCGCCAGAAAACGTCCCTGAAGTGATGATGGAACCAAAAGTTTTTAGAGCCCGAGTACTTTTGGTCCAACTTCTATAATGAGAGTATGTTTCGCCATATACTTTCCCACAAACGTCCCTTTTGGATCTCTTTTCATAGCTATACTAGATTGTAGAACACTTTCCTTGTTTTCTTTGAATTTAGAGTTTGTTTCGTAATTTTCTTAGAATTTAGAGCTCTTTCCGTATAAGAATACCAGGTGATGCAGATGAGCATACCGATGGCCTACCGCTGCCTGTTAAACTAAGTCCTTGCCCTATTCGCATAATAGACGATCCCTAGTATCCTAAGGTGTGCACATTATACAATATATGAAATTTGCAAGCCTGAGTTACCCGGCACCGGATTGTTCTTTATTTTGGGTTTATTTGTTCTTTGCCAACACACAATTGACGATAACTTTGGAGCGAAATTCACTTTGGATTTAGTTCGAAACTAAATATTGCCAATTTTACCACAAGAGTAGTTACTTTTACTCTAACCTGGCAATGGAAACCCGTGTGAAGTATTTTAGATCGCCTAACAGCGTTGTGTAACTCAATCCACTACCTGGAGTGAAAGCAGATCCGGAGTGAAAGCGAATCCGGAGTGAAAGCGAATCCGGAGTGGAGGTGAGTCCGGAGTGCAAGAGAATTCGGAGTGGAAGCGAATCCGGAATAAGCGAATTCGGACTGAAAGCGAATCCAGAGTGAAACCGAATCCGGAGTGAAAACAAGTCCGGAATGAGACGAATCCGTAGTGAAAGCAAACCTGGAGTGACAGCAAATCCGAAGTGAGAGCAAATCCAGATTAAAATAAAAGCAAATCCGAAGTGAACCTAAGCCGACACACACCATGTGCCTTAGGCCACAATTTAAAGGTATTTACTAATGAAGATCATAGGTGTATGTAAGACGAACTGAAAATTCCATAAAGATATTTCTTTTAGAATCTTTATAGTTGAAAAATGGAGCTGAAAGAGCATTTTGTTAAAGTACCAAATTTGAACAAAAGCCGTCGAATCTATCCAAATTTACCTTTCCTGGTTTAGGAAACATAGAAAAATATATCTATTCTAACCTTTTCCGTTAGTTAGAAACCTTAATGCGAAATAGGCTGAGAGGTATAAAAGGCTCTTAATATATTATCTTCAAGAAATTTTCCACGTTGGCTTCCTTTTCTCATTCACAATGGTTCGTTTCCACTTTCATTGTTACATATTTATTTATTTTCAAATTATAATGTTTATTTGTTATAAATGAAAAGTGGCAGTTTTTATAACCATGAAATCTAACGAACACTGTTTTTTTCTGTAGTTTGTTCTCGATTGCTCTTATTTCGTTTTCTTGAAAACATTCAGATTTTATCGGCGAAACCTGCGATTATCGTCTTTAGAAAAGATCTTTGATTACTGCATATTGCACTTTATTATCATATGTTCCTTCGCAGCATATTCTCATTTTCCGCGACATAAAGAATTTTAACGGTAAATTTGTATCTCATTGGCTAAAAACATGGCATTCAGAATAGAGTTCTAAAGTGATGACGTCACAAAAAATATATTTTAAGAATTTTTGAATTTGGCTCCCATAGCCTGAAAGAGCATCATGAAACACCTCTAAGTATGCACAATCAGTCAAATGTGTTACGAATTGGCTGAGATATGGCCACATATGTATTAGCTTTTCCCCCATCAAATCTCGGTATTTTGGTTTCTGCTCATAACTTCATGAACAGAGCGAAAAAGGTAGGTATCCTGTCGCTGTGTACGAAGAATACTGGTACTCTTAAGATGCTGTTGAAGACAGTTGTGAATACGTAGAAATAAGTAAATTTTCTTCGTACACAAAAAATCATTTATTTAGTGCAAAAATAATAGAGATGCGATGAATTTCTTCATCGACAGGTCCGTCTAGAGTCAATGATGAAATTTATCTGCCTGCTTTGTATTTTTCTCAAGCATAGACTCGGGCAAAACCCCCAGCTCGGGGAGTTGAAGTTTGCAAAGCCAGGCAGGGGAGAGCTAGAGAGGGAAACTGGTTCCTAGAAAAATGGAATCCCCTCTATAGGTTCTTAAGAGGGAACCAGTAAAACAATGAGCGCTTTACTAAAAAGAGGACATACCTCCCTTGACTCCGGTTCGCTAACCCCTACGTTTCATGTGCTACAGTCGACGTTCTTTTGAATAATTTCTTTTCTACTGGTTATTTTTCAGTTTGTTAAGCTATAAGCCTGAGTTCCAGACCCCTGACTATAAGTATCGCTAGTAAGTAAGGCTCGGGCTATTTAACTATTAGATATCTTGTCTGTGAAAGTCCTAGAAAGAGCTTTTGCATTTTGAAGTCAAACCATAAAAGGTGGGTAGTGTGGCTTTAATTTAGTGCTATTTCCAGTATTACCTGGACGCATTTAGGATTCAGTTTAGATTTTCAGCAACTTGAGTGCGTTATGAGGTAGCATCAAGGTAGGAGAACAGAACCCTTATATGCGAAGAAAAACAATGACAAAATTGACAATAGCAATAAATTTTTACCAATCAAAACTTTATTGCCCCTATATCCGTATCTTAAATTACACGATGCCACAAAGGGTCGATTGTTCCTGCTAAAAGCTGTGCCAACTTCCCTTTTGGCAATGAGACGATAGTTCTACTTCGCCCGCAATTTTCTTCTATTTTCTCGCTTTTTACAAAAATAATCAATAATTTTTATCGGTGGATACTACACGCAGCATTTCAGTCTTCTTTGATTGTCAGTAAAGCAAAAATATCAAGCATAAATATGTTTGATCTGACAATTTTCGTTCGCGAAAAAGAATCTATATATGATAATTTTATGCTGCACAACAGATATTTAGTGTGCGCTAGCCTGAAGGAAGATAAAAAAGGTGTCTGAAATATATGTCAGACTACACTGTTGATAATGTAAATCTTTATCGGATATATGAATTCGATAGTACCAAACTCATTCTCGTTTTTTTATATAGACCCAATTGATATAAATATATATAGATTTATATAGATAGGAATATAGACCAAATTGTTTGGCTGCTTTAGAAGAAATCTGGTTAGCAGAAAATGTCATCTTGTTAGTTCAAGTGATTTTAGTCCAAAAATGTCCGGTTCTTGTTTAGGAGGGTTTAGGTTTACATGGAGATAAGTGATCTAATGGAAAATCGAACTTTTGTGAAGACCAAAGAAGCCACATAAATATTCATGATGACTCGACTGGAACAACACAACCATTTCGAAACGAAATAGGTTGACAAAACGTGGCTCGTTACCCCACGGGGGGATTACTCCCATTATGGCCGAACAAGGGGATCCAGTCAATATGACTGAGGCCCTACAAGGGGTATTTGAAATATGAAATAATTTAGATTTTCGGGATGAAAATATAAATATTTAGGTTTTCGAGTCTTCAAATATGAAATAACTTTGATTCCCAGTATGAAATGTGGAATGACAAAATAACTGAATAGGTTACCTCTTTAAATGTTGTGTGAGAATTATCTACTTGATAACAGCATTGACTTTTTATACATTCCAAAAAGTTACATAGCAAGTTACTGTAATACCTGAACTACACGCTACTTTACATACACTACAAAGACGATACCCCGGGGAGCATTAACTCTGTCTACCCCGGGGCCATAACATAGAGACGAAAAAAAATGCACGTTCGTAATAACAAAAACTTGAAGATATAAGAGACTATTGATCTCTAGCATTGATTCAAGTGACTATTGATCTGTAGATATATTAAACGAACATTTACCACCATATTACACCTGGGTTGTTCTTTTAATCTTTTCAATCTTTCTAGGGGTTTAAAAGGCTTTTCATACATTACGTTTAGGAAAAATACCAACAGCATAAAATCTACAGCAAATACTTTTGTCTTGTATTATCTCAACGAAATAGACGAAAACATCAAATAAAATCATCAACATGTTTTAATCTAGTACATTGCTTTATTGAGTTATTCTTATCTTGAAAATAATGTTTCTGACCATATCTTTGATTTCAGTAGGCAATATTATGAAAATCAAGCTATAGGCAATATTATGAAAAGCCACAAACACGCAACCGCAAAGAGAATTTGGCCCACTCCAATTGTTTTTTAAACTTGATGAAAGTTTAAATCATAAAAATAAAGGCCACTGTTCATTTTAAGCCTTGAAAACATTCTGGTAGTTGACCAGAAGTCGATTTACTGGAAGCATGAAAAATGCACGGTCAGCAAAATTTCGACATTCGAATTTTTTAAATCTGATAATACCGTCAGAAAAAGCTTGTAACGTCGATGTGACTTCCGGTCTTCTGCCATAAGGTTCGCAAGGCTCAATGATTTAAACTTTAAAAGTTTCAGTTAGGCTGTTTGCTAGATGGTTATGCAAAATTCCGTCTATAAAATATCTACTCTTTAGAAACATGTAGTCAATCTGCAGCATTTATTTTGATTTCTTCTTGAGAACATCGTAAGAGTTGATTTCATTTAGTTTCAGCTTCGCATTAACATCATTTTAGAATTATTTCTTGCCATTGAATGCACCTACGACTGTAAGTGACTAGAAATAACAGTATGACTGTAGTATGAAAAATCCATTAAACAACTGGATTTACTGGTTGTTAGGGTTCTTGGCGGTTAGTAGAGCCAAAGAAGATATCCTAAAATTCAAAGTTAAAAAATCCTCCAAGTTTATTGTCTCTTCCAGGCATGTCTATAACTGGCCCCTTCAGGTTGTACCCTCCACGCAAAAGACTTAAGACTATCAGTTTTGGTACATGTATGTTTTAAGAGTTTCTTTAAGTGTTTCCAGAAAGTAAGTTGGGCAAAACAATGATAAATATTTCATTCAGTGGCCTTAGATTTCCCTTCAAAGTACCAAATGATTCCACAGTTCCAAAGAGAATTAATTCTCTATTTTTACCCAAGTACGGAATCTATTTGGATTTTTATGCACCCATTCTTTATACATTTTTAATATTTGTGGCTGAAAGATTGGTTTTGAAGACTCGGTCCATTTTGTATGTGAGTCGGTCCAACTTTTCTTGACACCTGAAGAAAGAATGGAACATTTTTCTAACAATTTCGAAATACTTTGCTTTGTTAATTTTGAAATATGAAATAATTGCAAGATATTATCATGAAATATGAAATAACGCCATCCCCTTTTATAGGGCCTCTTGACTGGATTGATATTCCTCACCGGGAAATCGACCTTTAGGGGCCCAAAAAGTTTGTATTTCTAGGGGCGGCGCCAAGAAACTCAAAGTGTGGGGGGGAGGTCGAGTTGATAGCTTTATAAGACTAGAAAACCATTATTCGGAAAACGCACTAAAATACTTCACGACATTTTATGCCTATGATTTTATGGGGTAATCGTTTTGCCAATGGTACATTGGGAGGACCGGTGATAAGTTGTCGGAGGCGAACCTGAACCTGAACCCATCCCTTCCGTAGCCTGTCCGTCCCGTTCTTTTAAGCTTGATGCTTCCATATACATAACAACGCTGCAACCAGTACCCTATATCGATGGGACAATTGTCTTTTTTTATTTCATATGTTTTCGTTGCTATTCAAGCTATTTCCGGTACAACTTTCAAGGACCCTTGCAACCACAATCACTCCCTATCTGGGATTAAGACTAACAAGTCGGTCGCTTCTACTCCTTTTTCCTTTATTCTTTTTTTCACTCTATTATTTTCGTTCTCTGTGTCTCATTCTTTTTGCCAACCAGCCGATCATGTGGATGGATTTTCACGAAATTTTTAAGTTCTAGACTTTTTCAAAACTCAATTGCTTCATTACACTTTTAATTAGATTACTTAAGTTTCTTGTTTTCCCTGTTTGCTCAATATCGTTTTTTATGGCGTGTTTCTATTTATAAAAACGAGTTTAGGCAAATGGGAATGTATCCTGTTCAATCGCCTAGATAATTTATTCAAAAGGGCAATGCCAAATGTAAGAATACATAGAAAACAAATAAGTGTTTGGCTACATTGATCATTCCTCCACCAAAAATATTATAAATCAGTTTTTTATTGACCGCTTAGAAAGTTTTCCAAATTTTATAGTTTTGGGTTTTTGGTTCACACTGGACGCGTTACGGTGCGGCGCGTCATGACGCTGATCAAATATGGTTAGCATTTCGCCATCTAGGCGCACGCGGCGCGTTTTTTCAGCCACGCGTCACCGAGCGTCAAAGTTAAATTTATTTTTAAGTTAAACTAAGTTATATTAATGTTAGATAATGGAAAAATTGGATAATAATGGCAGCCAGAAACGTAAACAAG